CTGGGTGATACGAAATTGCCATTAGATAGGTAGCAAAGAACCAGTTTGGTGTCCTTGTATCGCGCCATGGTGAAAGATGGATTGAGGAAAACATATCTCAATCATCTGGTGCCTGAAAAGGGCCCACTGCGCCGCAAGGCATTGCAGGCCATCTACGAGAAGCAGAGACTCCCGACATGCAAATACATAATCATTTAGTGTCGCTGAATAGTTGTTTGATAGACTTGTCCTGCATACCGACAGCAGCATGCTGATGTACATGACTTTACGGCTATAGGGGCCTTTCAACCAACTATCAAATCTCATTCATTCAGGACAGCAAAAGAGACGAGCTATGAAAGCCAAAAATCTCGCTGAAGAGCAAGAGCCTTCTGATGAAAACCATACATTGCCAGTATGCAATTGGGATCCTTATTGCTGTGAAGACTCTACGGCCCCACTTTCTGGGAATGATGTCGCAGAAACTGACAAGCTAAAAGGGGAACATGAGAAACTAGTAGCTGAAAACAAGAAGCTACGCACCTTACTTGACAAAGCGCTTCATGACCGTTTATGCTTGCAGCACTTGTGCAGCTCAATGCAGAAAGGCAAGGCGGAAACCAATCGCAACATGCAGAACGTCCTGAACTCATCCCTTAGAAAATGCCTAGAGAAGGGCTATAAAGACGTGGAAAAGCTTTCTCCTGAATGCTTTGCTCTCAGCAGCTTGGCTTTTAGTTGGTTCCTGATTGCTAGTTAAGTTCAACCACTCCCCTGAAAATCTTCAGAAATAGGTGTTTCATCGAATATCCCTGGTTGCACTGCAAACCCACCAAGCAAAACAACTTTCAAAGAGCAAAATCCAGAAATTGAATTCACCATTTCTTAGGTCAGAAGATCGTCCAGTTTGAGAAGGCGAACATCAGATTGGAGGGTGAAAAAATCATACTTCAAAGGGAAAATCAGAAGCTGAAAGCTTCGATGGGTCGGGGCTAGATTCTTTGGATCACCTTTTGTACGCTGCCTCCCACAACTGGGGTTGCCTGTGGGAAAAAGTGCAAGCTGCTGAATTACCAGCTGGCGCTCACATCAGCGAAGTTGCCTTGCAAGCCCAGACAGGTTTGAGGTGATCAGGTGGCTAGTTGAGACTTCAGAAATCTTAAATGGGTGGTGCCAAGGTCATTGGTGGAACAAGTCTACACCAAAGAAGAGGCTATCTAGGGATTGCAGTGCTTGCTGCTGTTTTTACCCACACAGCTTTCAAGTGGCAAATGCCAAATCAACATCATACCCAAATGCTGGATAAGTTTGTTTGGGGTGTGGTTTTTAGTTTCCCCCAACCATCCTTGCAAATCATTCATTGCTGTTTGACTATGGGGTTACTGAAGTCAAAGAACCGACTGTGTCCAAAAAACTTTGAAAAAAGCTGATTCCTGTTGAAATAGACTGATGGCTAGGCCACAAGCTTGATCGTATATGTTTTTGATGAGCCTAGGTTTGTACGTTTTAAAGCGATGTGTTTGTGCAACGCGTTTTGCGCAATATACTGTATATTGCGCGGTGTGCTTTGCGCAAAATATTTTGTCGTGCAATTTGTGTTTGGCGCAACATGTGTATACATGCGCGATATCCATGCGCAATATCCATGCGCAATATCCGTGCGCAATATCCATGCGCAATATCCATGCGCAATATGGTCTGACCATGTGGATGCGGAATATCTTCAGAGCCGGCGCCGGCTCCAAACCGGCGCCGGGACTAGAACCGGCGCCGGCCTTGACCGGCGCCGGTTCTACCAACTTGGTTTTCAGCAAAACAAATAGATGATTTTCAATAATCATTGTCTTTTTAGTGCCAAGAGTATGCAAAAGCACCATCCTTAGCAAGCAAGCAACTAAGAAATCAGGATGCCCAGCCTCAGCCACACATAATTTCATGAAGAACCAACAAATGAGCAGGCGCTGCAAGTGGAAGAAAAGCAACAGCAACTAACATCAGAAAGTGTGTGGATGATAACAGCAGCAATGGTATGAAACCCAAAGGTAGCAAGTTGAAAGCGAAAACTTTAGAGCACACAGAAAAAGACAATCCACTCAACTCACTTCATAACATCCCACTGCAACATAGCATACACACACTTCAAGGCATATTATCAAGAAACACTCATTCCTCAGACCTTCATGCAACACCGATTGATTTTACAGCTTATTGCACAGTTTTGTGTACCCTGACGTGCGCGCACACATGTGTACTTCCATGCACATGAACATGCAAATGCAACTGCATCCGCTCATACACTCCATACATGTCTGCATCTGTGTGCATGGATGTGTTCATTCACACACTCACACATACTGACTGGCATAAATTCGTTTATCTGCCTGCTAATAAACATACACCAATCCTCGAACTTTGCTGTTGCTGCTTGATTGATCACATATGCTCACATCTTTATGGCATGTTTTACCCTGTTCTGGCAGCTGGCCTCAACCAGCCTTCCCTGGAGGCACATGGCCAGAGTAAGATTTGCTTGCTGAGAGGGCGTACACCCTGAGAGCGATGCTTTAGTCATGTCCCACTTTGCGTCATTAAATGGATGTGAAACATTGTGATCTTTGACTGAGTAACAAATGTTTGTGTTTTGCATGCTGTTGATCAAGAGCAGAATCTTGCGGGGGCAAAGCGAGTATCATCTCACTGCACCTCAACCTTTCAACCTTCAGCTGTCTCTGAAAAACGGTTTGGGGCTGATGCTGCTACTTGCATCTTTGATTCAGCGGATGTGGATGCCAAACAAATGTGTGGCACTGTGACATTGTTGTCATCCATTCGTGCCTTGGAAACAATAGCCGGACGAAACTTATGGGACCCAAATACAATGTTATGGGACCCAAATACAAGCAAAACTCCTTATATATAATATATATATATATGTAGAATGATGTTGATATGTCATAATGAGGAGCCTGAGCCTTGATATGCACCAAACATGGTGAACTCTTTTGGTCCGTATTGCACACTGAACTCCATCAGAGGGGCCGGCCTCTCCATGTTCGATCCACTTCAGGGTGCCTGGGATGGCAGGATGGCAGGCTATGGCACATGACCTCCCCTGGGCTGCGCTGGGTGCTGGACCTTGGACATTTCCACTGGCAGCTGCTAGGCACAGCGCCCACTGTGGGAAGTTGGGATTGCGCCTGGAAGATGCGCCATGATGCCTGGAGAAACATGGGAGAGACTGCTGTGGCCTGCTATAGCCAAGATTTATGATGATTTATGCAAGCCATGGAAGTCATTCATACATCTACCCTCTGGTTATTTAACATCGCCATTTGTAATAGGTAAACCATCTATTTCTATGGGCCATCTATACCATGGCTATGTTAGTCATAACCAGAGGCTATTTTCTTTTGCGCCCCAAAGATACCCTCTGGTAAACGTTTACATAGCTATGGAAAGATCCACCATGCTATCAATGGGAAAATCCACTATTTCTATGGCCATTTTCAATAGTTTTTTGTATGTTTACCAGAGGGCATCATGAACATCATGTTTCACACGTTGGCTTCCCTCGCCGCGAAAAATCTGGGCTTCCCGATGGCCTCAAGACATCAGTCACGGGATGATGCAGCAAAGCCTGGCTTCGGCCGTGTGGAACATTGGGAACTGGTAAACTAACAAAAAGCTATTGAAAATGGTCATTTATAGTGTATTTACCCACTAAAAATAGTGATTTTCCATAGTTATGTTAGTTTACCAGAGGGTATCCCCAATGTCCACCCTGATGAATTCTGCTCGATTCACTATAGGGTTACTCCCAAAATCTCCCGAAAAAAGTGAGGTCATCTGGGATTTTATCAGGGGTTGACATTGGGATCCAACCTGTTGCGTCTGCCCAAATGGACCCGGCCTCAGAAAGCTCCATGGCCGTCCTAGCAGGTGGCCATCCAATCTGGACCAGTTTGGACCTATTTGGGGGGTGCCATTCCAGCTATAATCATCACTATATGCCAGTTATGAATATGGCTATACATGGCTATACCCATCAATTTCATATAATTTCATCCCAAGTATACCCAATCAATCACAACTTCCAACCACTTAAAAGTCTCCCGTGGTGTCCTGTTGGATTTTGGATCCAGCCGATTCAAATCTGCCTTTGCCAGTGCCAAGGCTTCCTTAGCTGCTCAGGTTTCCATCATCAAATCACTAGAACATTTGGGTTTGTATACCACAAAATTGATCATTTTCACTAGTACAATCGATATCAATCGATGATGCTACAGCAACTTTTCGGACTTTCACAATTGGTGTCGTCTCAACTTCGAAACATCCAAATCCAGTGCTTTTGGAAAGTCGCTTTCCTCATTGAACGGCAATAACTTGGCTTATCCTTCTTTTCAAACAAACCCACTTGGGAAATGGCTTCAAACGTAACTGCGGCAATTTCCAAGGTCTTGCCAGCAAGATGACTGTAGATGCTGGACAGAAAGACATCGGAAGATTTTTTGAAGCCAAAAACGCACACACAAACTTCGCAAACAAATCCAAAAAGCAGTCGCAGCACACTTTTTCAGTGCGAACGGGCGCCAATGCGTTTGCTTTCCCAAAGATGGTAGGCCCAGTCACCACAAAACTGGTATACTTTGCCAATTTGCCCGGCTCACTAGTGCAGGCTCTCCACAGCCCCACTCTCCACATCTTCAGCAATTTTCTCTATTTGACTGCTGGCATCTTTGGCATTCCAGGCAGTAATCCTGGCATCCCTGGCAGCCCAATGCCCGGCAAAGCTGGAACTCCTGGAAGCTTTGGCATAGTGGGCAGCATGCCTGGTATACCCAGCCCGGGAAGGGTGGCAGCGGCTGGCTTGGGGGCGGTGGCAGCTGGCAGCTTGGGCATGGGCAACACCATGCCGGGGGGCGGAGGGTAGATGGGTGGGGTCAAACCCTTCTCGCGGATCAACATCTGATAGTACTCGATCCTTGGCTCAGGGGACATTCAGTTGAATCTTGTTCAACCTGTTCCTGCCATATTTTTTCCTTCCAATTGAAATTTGAAGGCATACATATTCCAATCTTGCATGCACAACTCGTGCAAATGAAAAAAACGACATTTCCGCAGTGCCTCATAACAAGGTACTTCACTGTTGGCTTGGGGTGGCCAACTCCCCAAGCAAGTGATGTTTGCTGGTTTATATATGATTATTTGTTACCCATCTAGCAACATATTTATCATGATATATCTACCATAAACCCCAGTGATATTTGTTATAAACCAACTTCGCTAGTTTGGACTTCAAAATCTTCAAGGCCAAGACGCTTGTTGTTGATATGACGCCGTCCGGTCAGGTGCTGCCTTCTACCAGTCAGGCCGCTATGGGTCAAGAACATGTCGCAATATTCGCCTCGAGAATACGCTGGGCCCTACAAGTTGGGCTATGAGGCCCCTATAACTTAAACTATAACATACTATAACTATGGGCTGTTACTGTTTTACATATATACAATCACAGACATATATATATATGGCAGTGTGTCAAAACCTTGTACCCCTGGTGAACATCAAAATAGCTGGTAAATGGATGTTCATCCCACTAAAAATGGTATTAATAGGTATTGATCCATACCCATATATATATATATATTATACATCCACTTATAACTGGAATCGCACTTTCAAGGAGGGAACATGTCATCACCGAAGCATGATGCATGGCCTTTGCAGATCATGTTAGAACCGCATCAGCCCCAAAGTGGTGCTGAGGATCACCAGATACCCTCTGGTAATGACTAACATAGCTATTGAAAATTGCCATCACCAATGCATGACTCAGTGACAGTAGAACTTCGGCATGGCCACTGGCGGCTCCGTTCAGCCACGTCTTTGTAGGTTTTGTTTGGGCAAATCTTGAGCAGAAAAGCCGCGGGCCAACTCGAGGTAAGAAAAGTCATGGCAGCCTCCTATAAACCAACGTAGATGTGGAACAGAACCCATTTGTAGATCAGGTTTGTGGTGTTTCTAGGGGGAAAAAAGGGCTTTCCACATCTTTTATGGCATCTGTTCCATCTTGCCTTTGCATGCCTTTGCCACAAGATTTCAACGACGTAGGCTATTACTCAGCAGCTGTGGCCCCCAGCTACTCCTGCCACGTTGTTCTTGACAACGCAGGTAAAGAGAGCAATACGAAGCTCCTGGGCTTTGGGTTAGCTGCATCATCAATGGACTCCAAGGAGATTCAGTAGGAATTTACTGGTGATTTAGTGAGGATATACTTGTGATTTAACGGTGGTTGAATGGGGATCCATAACAACACTTGGGGATACCATCCATTGTAAACATGGCTGGAAACTCCATCAGTTGGAAATGCCATTTTTTGTTGGTTTCCTGCTAGCCATGTTTGACTACAGGGTAAAATTCGAATAGAACCACCAGGTACTAATACACTGATATGCACTAATACACGAATGGATACGCTTAACAAAGTCTCCTGCACTTTCGACGGTGGTCCACCACGCTCTCCGGTGAAGGACTCGGCGCAGCTGACAGGTGAGCCATCCGTCAATTGGGGCTCCACATCCCAAGCAACCCAAACCGCACACATTTCACATCATTAAATGGATTTTAAAGGTGATATTAATAGGGATTTAATGGGGATCTAGCATACACACGAGATCATATATTGAAAGCTGAACTTAGCACTTTTTGAAAGACGAGCAGGAGAACAAAAAGTGAATGTAAAGCTGTGCAATGAATTTAGTGGCACATCAAAAGCGCAGGATCTGTCTCTCTGCTCCTTGTCTATTCAACATCCACCTTCAATGGACATGTCACTGCCCTCCCAAATGCTTTCGATCAACTCATCCATCCAAGTCCATTTTTGCTTTTTTGTGGGTAAAACAATGTCATAAACCGTCCCCCAGTCAGACCAGCCATCACCATTTTTATAGGCGGTTTGTTTACCATTCCCAGTCATGGGTGGTTTATTGTGGTCTATGGCATTGTTTTCCCACATTACCCAAGTCAAGTTCCTTCAAAATGGCCAGGCTGAACATCGCTAAGGCACCCAGGACTCCATCAGAACCTGCATGGCATCCTCTTGTGCCATGGACACCGGAAAGGAACAGCACTCCAACATGATGCGGAGGGCCTGGCTGATGAAAATCCAGCAGTGAAAAATGAGATCAGTGGCAAAAGAAGTGGACAACACATGCATATATGGATATATATATATATACACATGGATCTACAATACATATATATATATATGTTATATATGTATTGTTGTTTGATGGCTGCTTTTTGGTATCAATTCCTCTCCAGCCTCTATCAAATGGCAGATCCAGTCAGAACTCATTCAGTGATCTCCCCACTACATCCCCAGTTGAACAATAGAGGCCATTAAACCACCATAAAACCCAGCTATACACCATCTAGTAAGTAATCCCCCCAGATAGAACAGTAAATTTTATGGTTATTCATGGTAGTTGATGTTTATATATGTTTACAATGTAGCTAAGTGTTCAACATCCTTTTTTCGGGATTGTCCCCCGGCCGGGCTCCACTTACACCTGGCCTGTCTCCACTTCTCCAGGGAGCCCTGAAGCTCCGAGACGATCTCCCTGGCCTCCTAAGGCTAAAGCCATAAAGAAACCAGTTGGATCTGATCACTTGGGGGGTTTACTAATGGGATAGATGGGATACGAATGGGATACGAATGGGATACTAAGCTTCATAATCCATGATTTCGAATTAATCATTGGTTAATCATAGGATAAAAACCACGGGGTTAAAATCCCAACTGATTAGTTCATAGGATAATTGGATGATTAGCCAATCTTACTGCTTCACTGGGGTCTATAGCAAGTATGGCAAGCCCACTGACGAATTCCCTTTTGGGGTATGGTTTTTCCAATGCCCTTCCCCAAGAATATAGCAAATCGCAAGGCATAAATAGGCTACAAACTTACTCTGAATTACATACCCCAGTTGGTAATGGGTGAAACATGGCAAGTCCCATATTATGATTATTATGCTTGGATTTGTTTAAGGAACCACAGCAAATCATATTCCCTGTAGATTCCCCAAGTAAGAGATTTTCCACTGGGAAAAACACCATGTCATCTTCAGCAGATCCAGGTATGGCATTGGGTTTACCCTCTGGTAAACTAACATAGCTACGGAAAATCACCATTAAATTTTATTGATGGGCTAATCACCTAAAACTAGGTCATTTTCCATGGAAAATTATGGGTTTGTCTGAAAATAAGGTACCCAAAAAACAAGGGTTAATTAATCATTGTTTTAAAATTCTTCACACGAAAAATTGACAATTTCCATGGGTATACCTTATAAGTCCCCTATGCCATTCCTTGGAGAACCACCATTTCCATGGCCTTCCCCGCAGCCAGCAACGGCACGATGACATCTGCAGGAAGATGTGATCGCTGGCCGACCTGCGGGCGCTGGTATAATCTCTCTCCCTCACACACGCATATAATCATACACATATATATAGTTATAGCATCATTCTTTAAATATATATATATATATATGTATGTCTGTCCGTCTGTCTGCCTGCCTGGATGTATGTATGTAATGTAATGTAATGTAATTAATGCAATGCAATGCAATGTAATGTATGTATGTATTATCCGCACATATCTATGTCTACATCATTTTCCCATGGTGATCCTTGCTGGCGGCCATGGATCCGGCCTCCAGTGCTTCGTCCAGCGGAGTTCTTTGGCTGGCATCTTCACTGGTGAGGTCAACTTTGGACCGGATCTCAGCGCGCAGGATCTCCATGGGGAGGGATGTGCTACTTGGAGATGGAGTGGGGATCGAATCTCGGAATATCCCATGGAATATAGAAAGTATTGTCATTCTATCCCCTATATCATCATTTAATCTATCCAATACAAGGTTTAATGAGGATCATGGTGGAAACACCCGTTCCTTTGCCGAAGCCGCCCCTTCGCAAAATATCACCACTGAGTTCCCTGCGCACGCGTGCAGAATTTCATTCATCACCTGCAGATCCGAGTAAAAACACCAAAGAAAAGCGATTGCATGACTATCACATCATTTTTACCCCAAAAAGGATAGACAAGATCTTCTTCCATATTATGAATATCACATCATTTTGATAGACAAGATCTTCTTCCATATTCTTCATGGCATTCCCGTTTTTTTTTTCTGCTGGTGACTTGCCTTTTCCATCCCCCGAGGATTGCACCTCACAATCTCCGATTCTCGCTGCCAGGTGTAGGGCGCCGCAGCCACTCTTCAGGTCCACCACACCGGGATCCGCCTGAGGAAGGGCAGCAATTATACCACCAAACATCGACGGCTGTAAAAAATTGCAGGGAAGCCCTATATTTCATAGGAAAACACTTGGCTTCATGTAGATTTTCCCCACCAATCCATTGAAAATCACAATAAATCACTCAACCACTGGATTTTGGGGGCACCCAATGAGGATTTCAGGAAGTCAAACTGGAGGTAGCTAGCATATAGTAAGGCCTATGGAACTGACTATGGAAGGGAATATCACCACAAAATATGGCCTTATATGGTACAGGACCTCCATTTTAGGTTCCTGAAATTGAAATTCCCATTGACTGCCAAGCTCAATGTTCAGTCCAAATGCAATCCGGGTATGGGAATTTCACCACACAAACGTGCAAGTTTACAACCAATAAAAAAACATTGATCGGCAACATTTTACCAGCCAAACATGGTACTTAACCCGCAAACATAGGGATTTATCCAGCAAACATGGAACATGGATATGGAAATGCATTCAACATGATCAACACTCCAGATGGTTTAAGATTGCGTACGACACTAACCCACTGTTCAAGATTTTCCGGGCCCGTTGGTACCAACAAATTTTGGCCCATACCCATCTGGACAAGACCTCCAGTGGTTTCTTTCTAAAGCATGAAGTGCGAATGCTGAGGGAAAAAACTTGGACTAGGCAAACCTGCAATCCTAGAGTCGATTGGTAGTTTCAACCCCCTCACGAACGTGCTCGTCGTTGTGGATCATCATCCCATGTCTAGAGTTGATCACAACAAATAGATACAAATAGTTGAAACCACCAATCAGATAAGCATTGGTTATATACCCATTCCAAGATTTCCAAGCTCGTTATATCATATCATGTTCCCATTTTAGATGCTTAAATCCCCAAATGTGTCGCCATGTGTCGACGCCTTATTGGTTGATATATCCCCAAGCACGGCAGATCGCACCTGCTGCTCCAGGCAAGATTTGACAATGGCAACATTCCTCTGCTCGATGGACGTCAGCAAGTCTCGACCCAGCCTCAGCTTCCCACGAAAGGTTAGCAATTGTACGCCTTTTTTGTATCTATTGACAGTCAGGGAGTCATCACTTTCCCTTTCAAAAACCATTTGTCATGTCAGGGGTACCCTCTGGTAAACGTTTACATAACTATGGAAAATCACCATTTTTAATGGGAAAATCCACTATTTCTATGGCCATTTTCAATAGCTATGTTAAATTACCAGAGGGTAGTGCCACGTCCATCCACGTCCCACTTCAATCACCATCCGGGATCAACATAGACATATCACCTCTACCGACCCCATCCAGGTCCTGACTTGGCTCGCCATTTTCGATGCCGATCCGTCACTGAAGTGGTCTCATGGTAGCCTGCAACCATTCCGTGCAATTTTCTACGACGTAAACGAACATGCATAGAACAGCCCATAACTAAGACCAATATAACTCAACAACTAATCACATCTATTGAAAACAAGTTCTAGTATGTTCTAGTACAACCCCATTTTTCCATCATTTTTTCCATCATTTTTCCATATTCCTCATCTATTTCCCATCCTTAAACCATCCATTTGCGGCCTCGAGGAGCTCGAAGGCCCGGGATGTTGAGCATCGAAGGCGAATTCTGGAACTGTGCTACTGCTCGCAGTTCTTCTTACGCCGTGTGATTTTTCCAAAGAGATATTGGTGATGGGATTTTCATGGCGATTTCATGGGATTTCATACGGATTTCATGGGGCATTGTAAGGCTGATGATATTTGAAGACAATGAGTGGGCACAAACGGGGGACTAGGGGGATTGAATAGCAACCCCAATGATTATTGGGGGGTTGCCCCAAAGATACCTTGCGACCTAATCATACGCCCAATGAACAAATGGGTTTATCATGGTTTATCAAACCGGGTTCTCCTTCAAAAGTCCAAAAAAGTACTGAGTTGTCCATGTTTGGTCTAAAAGTGGTAGTTAACCCCCAAATTGAGATAAATTGGAGTAGTTATGCATCATTTTGGACAAAACCATCCATAGCTAGGCTCGACCAGTGTGGCAGCCAGAGTAGGCATGATTTTGATGCTGTTTCACATGCGCGCATCTTGATGAACATGAGCCTGTAATAAGCCTTCCAGCACAAAGAACATCTTGCCACCAAAAGTGAGCCAGTGAGTGATAACGAAATGGCATTGTTGGGCAAACAATGCAGATAGCAACTTTTGCTTTTTTTCCCTCAACCTTCCCCAACCTTTGCATTTCCGGGCCACATTCGCTACAAGTAAGGGTAAATCCACGTCTTACAATCATCGACCCCAACAAGTCGCAACCTTTCCAAATTCTCATCGTCTTTTTCCGCCATCCGGCCTTCGAGTTGTGTCCGGCGCTTATTGACAGTGGCCGTGCAACTGCAAGGCCAAGATGCCTTGTCATGATCGTGCCTTCCAAGAGAAAGCCACATGAGATCATTTCAATAAGTGAAACTTTGGAAGTTTGTCTCCCGATGCCATGTTTCTGTTGCGACTCTCTTTGAGAGTCGCCTCTTGTACCCTAGCCACACCGTGCACGGTATGATCTATTAATGACGCCAGATTTTTAGCAAACGGTCTTTGGAACCCGTCGCTACACGTGCGCCATCCAAGCTCCAATCAACTGCATAGACCTTGCAGAGGCGCTGGGACTGGACTCGTCTTCCACGGTTTTATTTCAAGGCCACCGTTCACCTGTTTGAAATAAGAATACCCACACTCATACTCACACATATAACGCATACGTATACGAAAACGTGTGTATATAAATATAAGCTATACATATAACACAAGTACACATAACACACACACATATATATATATACACATGGTTTTTCACATCTATGATCATCTATGTATATCTATGTTAATCTACTGGAGGGTATATGACATAGCCCTTGGCACCTCATCGGCATGGCCTGGCAGGTCCTCCAGGAGCTTTCGCCGGCTGATGTCCCAGCACTTCGCGGTGGAATCCTGGCCGAGGTGGGGAAACACCGGCGATTTCTAGCGGAGAAACCATGGATAAACCATAGATGTCACAAATCACAGGTTACTCTATACATATACATCATATGTACATATATATATACACATATATATATATATATATTAATATATAATATTATATATCAGCATGAACATGATTGAACATGTATGTATCATATATATCAAATGCATTCAAATATTAGGTCAATCCCTAAAGATGAGAGATTGACCTAGCCATAGGCAACTCAGCTCAAAGAAAATCATCAAAGATAGTGATTTACGCAATGAATCGTGAAATTATGTGGAGTTGGTTCCGACTCAAAATGATCGAAATGAGGGTTTTTCTCCATTTCAGGGCCAGTATATTAATATTACCAGGGAAAGCACATTTCTACACCAGGGGATGGAATGCAAATTCTTGAGACCACCCATGGAACTGCGCACTCTCCACCACTCCCAAAGACGACTGCCAGCTAGTCCTTGGAGACACTCACCAAGAGCCTGCTATCTGCTGACCATGCAAGTTGATAGACATCACCTGAGTTTCAGACATGATGGGATCAATATGGATCAATCATGTCTCATTAGACTCTGTTCTGGGCTTTGGATGTCACTTCCAAAGCACATCCCTTCCTGGTGGTGAAGGCTGACCAGTCCCAGACGGAGGCATCTACAAACAGTGACGTCTTTTTCGGGAAGGTAAACATCTGTTAAAAACCAATCAACTGATGAGAAGAGAACAGCTATCTGGGCCCAAATTCAACCCCAAACTCTAGTGTCCAATCATTCTTGATACTCAGCACCTGAAAATTCCCCGACAAATCCCCCGGTTGAATGGTTGATGATCATTTTCTACCCGTTGCATCGCCCAGCGCCATCCAGTGGCCCACGTGTCCGCGGAAGGCGTGGACATATTTGCCCGTTCGACCGTCCCAGAGCCGAACCGACTTATCGAAGGAGGCGGAGGCGAACCAACGACCGTCGGGGGAAAAGGCAACCTGGGCAGCCGGGGCAGCTGAGGCACCATGGATTTAGTGGCATTTCATGAGATTTCATGGGATTTGAAGCAAGAAAAAAGGTGATTTGATGAATTTGATGGGACTTGTGGGATTAACTAACTATAACTAACAACATACCCTTCTGCTTCATGGGGATATAATGAGGATATATATGATGGGTGTGTATATATATATATATACGTTACACCAAAAACTATTTTGTTGTTTGTGGGTGCTACTCTTCCGTTTTCAAACATGGCTGGCCGGGGAATCCTAGAACTAAATGGATGCTTTAATGGGAAAATAATCAAACTAAATGAAGGAGTTTCCATTGCCATGTTTGATTACCATGGGCAAATTGGGATCATGATCCCAAATAGGTCGTACGGAAAATAAAGCTGTTTGAAATGATGCTTCGAAGATGATTTAATGGCATAAAAATGTATGGCTTGATCGGGCTGAATTAGGCAACATATTGAAACATGTATCTTTCAATCACGTCACATCAATTGGAACATCGACATCTTAATTGGATCGCCCTTGGACGATGATTTCCAACAGAAACGCATGCGCACATCCATTGGGTCCATGATGGAACCTCTACGATGATGTCCATGGAACATCATGGAACGCCTCTTTCAACAAGCAAAACCAGCCATGGGCTCAACCGGGACTGAGTCAGCCGTGGAGTCCACTGAACAGCCCAGCAGCTTGATTCACAATCTTCTGATGCCCCGTCATCCGGCACACTGGCGTTTTGGATACCTGGGCTCTAAGGGAGCTGTTGGTCCCCGAAAAAAACCGGATGGCTATGGATGGTTCATCCCATCCTCAGCTACTGACAGTAAGTGTGTCTAACAGCTATGAATCCCCGGCCAAAAAAAAAACCGAATGTTATGGTCGTAATGGCAATTTTCCATGTTGTTCACTACCCTCTGGTAATGACTAACATAGCTATGGAAAATGGCCCAGTCGAAATAGTGAGTTTTCCCATTAAACATTGGGATTTTCCATAGCTATGTTAGTTTACCGGAGGGTATTTGATGTATCGCATAAACATACATAGACCATACCCATCTCCCATGGTTTCCTTCCACCGTCCCGCCAAGACGCCAAGGGCCGCCACAGGAAGAGCGTGAAATCATCCGATCCACTCAGCAGGCGTTCCCCGCCGCAGAGCCTGAAACGATTGGCGCGGTAGCGCCCCTAGCAATGGGATGAGAAAAGCCATGACCCCCAAATGGTGAATGGGATGGTTTATGGTTGGATTTATAAAATGACATGGGATCTGGAAACATGATTTCATATGCTTCAAAAGCCGGCACATGAAAGGTCCAGTGAAAAAGAGACGCAGTGCGTGTCAATCTGCACCGTCATATTTTCTTGGAAATGGGCCATTTGACATTTGAATATGATTTTCCATGATTTTCCTGCAATTGCAACACTTTTGAGACTTTTTGGATTCGGGGTGTACTCCTTGCCGAGTAGCTCGATAGCCTCAGCATAGCGCTTCTTGGCCGCCTCCTGGCAGCTACATTAATACATCATCTACATATACACAGTAAGCCCCAAACAGATAGAAGGGTGACTACTCACAAAATAGTAGGGTTCCATGGCTATGTTAAATAACCAGAGGGTATTATATATTTAGGGTTACCCACTATGCCATTCTAGGATTTGACTTTTCGATCAGGAAACCATGGCTTTTTTCGCCACCAACTGTGTCTCGTCATGGAGGATCATCATCCCAGGCCACTATTGTGGAAAAAGGGCCAAAAGCCACGTATCAACACCCGGGTGAACACCAAAATCAGTGGCATGTGGATGTTCATTAACCAGATTATATACCAGTATTAACCAGTCTTAACCACTACTATCATTCTCCCCATTCTCCCACTCTGGCATTCATTATCATTACTTCTTGGTATTGACCTATTGACCCAGGTGAAGTCAGGATCCCATTCCCCATATTTGTCAGACTTCATTGCAACTTCAAAATGCTTCCCAAACGTGTCAATTTCATATCAACTTCATTGATAACAAAAGGAATTTGCCTTCAACCTGGGCACCAAAAGGACAACAAATATAGGCATGATTCATCACTTATTGAACTCGTGGGTTTAGCATTCAATTTTTGGAACGCGAGCGTGTAATTTCCCATGTCTTTGTTAACCCTCTGAGTTGAAACCATTTGTCGTTCATTGGCTGGATTGTAACCTATTTACCCCATTAATTGGGTTTATTATAACCTAGAGATAACCCATAAATCCCCCGGCTGTTGGCACCTTCTTCTCCGCCAAGTCTTTAAACTTCGCGGGCTCATGGGAGTAGGGCCCCGAACGAATCACATAGTCCGTGTTCAGGGCCAAGGTGTTTACCCAGTGACCGTGGCCCTTCAACTCATTCCTTCGGTGAGTGCGCTTTCAATCATTGGGTCGGTTTAAGGGAAACTGGAAACGGGAAAACCCTATATCTGATGGTACACATATGTACAAATCATTCAAAAAATGGGTTTACTGAAGATTTTCCCTTAAACCAAGCCATTGATTCAATGTTCAGCAGTCATGATTCAATAAAACAACTCCGTTCCTTTCAACTTCCAGTGCTTGTTTCATCTTGTTTTCCTTCATCGGCTTGGAACTCCAACAAAACGGATCCAACAGTGTCGCATCAGTCTGATCTGGATACCTTATCGCTTGCAGTTTCTTGTGCAGGATAGCTGAATTTCCAGCTATTTGGCATGCCAGATCATGACAGCCATTTTCCACCTATCCCATGAGAAACTCTGAAACTCGCCCTCGAGACCAACAGCCACCAGGGCTCAGCATGGCTCCATCCTTTGGGTTCCATACCTTGATGACGCAGTCCCTTCCAGCGCTGTAGACCACACCTCCGATGTCCGGCCGCTCGCCGGACCAGCGGATCTGCATCACCGGCTGCGAGTGAGACGTGAGGCTGCGCAAGCACACGCCCACGGACGTGTCCTGGGGAAATGTATCCAATTGGCCACCGCACATGAGTAGCTTTGCCATAATTTTCTGGGTCACCAACTCTAAAAAAAAATATATATATAGACTATAGATATAGATATACGTTTTTATGATTTGAGTGTGTGTATATATATATATGCGTATAATATAAGTAGCTCACTTGAAAGTAAACAGATCTTCTGTAGATCCGAGGCACCCAAATTCTGACTGCCGCATCCTTGGAGCTGGTGGCAAGCAGTGGAAAGCTGTCACCTTCCGCAACATGCAGGGGCTGCCAACATAAACAGGTCACTGGCTGCGTGTGGCCGCGTAAAGCGCCCAAGTTCTTGCCACTTTGGGCACACCAAACCAGAACGATCTTGTCCATCCCAGCCTTGAATGGCAAGGCAAACCATCCAAACCATCCAAGATCATGCATCATGGACAACATGGACAACCTCCGGCATTTGTTAAAGTCATTCAACAACCCTCACCTTTTTTGAATTCTTTTGATCCGAGCCACTGAAGCAAGTCTGGAGCCGTCCGGTGACCAAGCAACTGCCAGGACCCAATTCAGGTGACCTGAGAAGGGGAGCTCCACAGATGAAAAACCCGAGGCCCTGGTGACAGCATCAACCAAGAAACAAATCCGTAAGCCACAAACAAAGGGCTTTTACCAACTTCAACTGTTCTCCCTGGGCTCAGCCATTTTTCCCCATTTTTCCCCATTTTTCCCACTTTTTCCCCAGCCGGGCCTTTGCAGGTGTGCTTGGGCAGCTCCGTGTTGAGATCCCAGAGCCTCACTGTGGAATCTCCACTGCCACTGGCCAGTTTGGTCGAATCCGGCGAGAAGGCCACACACAGCACGGCCTGACAGCCAGGTCATCCAGGTCATCGCTTGCTGGCGTAAGAGGTTTAACATGGGCATGGCATACTCTATGCACATATGATACCACCGGCATCCGGTTTTCGGAGGTTTTCACACACACACATATATATATATATTATAATATATATATATATATATTTCATGATCTTTGAATATCGTTGTCAAGTGTTGTCCATATATTTGTCCATGTTTTTTTCTCGAAGCCCCACGCCTCGATATGGCCACTGAGCGAGGAGGTGCAACGCGTGACCGGTCGAACTCTGAAGACGGCCAATGGGTAATAGGTGATGTTCAGCACGCGTTCCTCACGCCATGCCATGCCAATGTAAAAAAACACCTGACTCATGGACCATGATGCCATGGTTAATCACAAAAATCCATCCATATCAATCTTGCATGTCATGTTCAGAATCTTGCTTCATTGCCAAGAAGTCGCCATATTCAAACAAAAATTGGGCATGATCCTAGCTTTCGTAGCGAATTTGCAGCAAGCTGCGCCGCTTCCGCATCCAAGGCTCTGTTGATTGACTGGCGAGTTTTCCAAAAGAGGCAGCCAAGTTTGACGTGATCTCGGTCTCTTCCAAGTGAAAGCTGTACGGCATCTCTTCAGCGTTTTCCAGCAGTTGATTCAGCAGCCTCTGGACATCGGTTCCAAGTTGATGCACAAGTGATACAACTTACATAACCAGCTAACAAAAGCAAACACACACGAAACACTCACCTGCCATTAAACATCATTAAACATCATTAAACATCATTTAATATCAAACTTCATCAAACATCATTAAAATATTACACATCATTAAACATCATTAAACATCATTAAACATCATTAAACATCATTAAACATCATTAAACATCATTAAACCATATTACAGCTTTGTTGACCATAGTCTCCGAAAACGACTGCAAGAGCCTTCTTAACCCCCCAACACAGGCGCCAGCTGCTGCAAAGTGACGTGCCAAGCTGTTCCTTTGAAGTGCCCAACGGCACGTCCAGCTGTGGCCCCGCGATCTTCCTGATTCTTCGGAATGTCGGTATGAAACGTCATGTGGTACTAAATGTCATGTAAAGTCTATCTATAATAAACCATCCCCAATATATATATATATATCTATATATCTATATATATATATATACATATATATATGTATATCTATATACATATATATATATGTATATATAAATATATATATACATATATATATATTATATATGTATATATAATGGTTTATAGCTGGAAGTCAAAGAAACAACACAAAGTCATCCAAGTCGAAGTCTCTCACCAAGAAACAAAGCCTCACGAATCCATGAGGTTTCTTTCATTGGATATACCCCTAGCAATGGCATAGTTTTACGAATTATTGGGACCACATTATTATGGGATAGTTTTACTAATTAGTTCTACTATAATTATTGGGATGATCTATTGCAATCCCATTCTTTGAAGGGGAATGCCATCAACAACCCGTGGAGATCCCACGTTGGATCCGAGAAAAATGGCATCGAGAACTAGGCCACTAGGCCAAAGGGCCCGTCGGGATCCACGAACTGCACCAGTGCCTGGCCTTGGGACAGTCATGACAGTCATCCAAACAATGCGCAAAATCATGCACACATTATGCATACAAATCATGAATCATAACATATATACGTATATATATAATATATATATATACAATTATATATCCATATGGTTGTTATATGTATACTGTATACTGTAATTATATATATACGGTACGCATACATGTATTACTATTGTAATTGTGTAGGTTGGAATATCAATATTGAACTGAACAAACAAATACAAACAACCCATTCACAAAGCCATGTTCCGAAGTCGATTCTCAAGTGGATTTTCTAAGAAACTCAATCCCAGCATATCCCAAGCATGTTCCAACCACCTCTCACCATTTTTCCCTGACGCCATCCGCTGCCAGAGGACCATCGATGGCCAAAGCGGCCGAGGCAGCAGCTTTCAACTTCTTGGAGACCACTTCCTCTGCCGCCTGCTTGTCCGCCACCCGCCTTGGCCCGGTCAGGTGGCTGACCGAAGATGTTGAAAAAAACACCATTGGGCACCGGGAAGATGTGGAAAATGATGACGTTTTTTCATCTTTTTACATCTGTTTGGGATGTTTTTGATGTGATTTTCTCATTGTTCCAACAACAAAGTCAGAATGTCTTAAGCCATACTGAGCAAAAGCATCAAGCAAATGAGTGCTAGCCACCATGTAATTATGCAATTATCCATGAACAGTCATGAGCCTAGGCCTAGATCACGCCAAAATATTATGAAACATGCAACCAGATTTGTTTCCGCCCAGTTTGTGGTGGTGCTGGACCAAGGGTCCGCAAAGATGCTGGCTTGGGTGCAGCGGAACACGACTTAAACAGTGGTTGAGTCGTTGAGGAAGGAACTGTCACTTCTAACAGGGGCATTCATCCATACACACTTTCCTTGGCAATGGGGCATTCATGGGCATTCATGGCCATTCCACAAGGCGAAAGTAAAAATTAGTTCCAGCATGGAAGGCACATCTCCCAGTCGTGTCTTTGTTGTGTCAAGCAACCGCTTCTTGTTTGGACGTGGAGGCATGGCTTGGCCCGCGGTGCTGGCTACAGTACAGTTGTTCAAACAACATGAAAGCAATCCACCAGCTCTGCTCATAGCAGTTAAGAAGCAAAGCACAAATCAACAAATAGAGGCAACTGTTTCCATACAAAGACTTGATGTTCCTTCTCTGCATGCGGTCTAACAAACACATCTGCAGCCAACGTCCAGCGGTTGGATGACAATTACACGTGTGAAGCTTCATCTCTGCCCGCTGTCCCATCCCAATCATCCCAGTGGCTATGCGGCATTTTCTGCCCACTTGGAAGGGGCACCTATGCCGATGTCCGCATGGCTCTCAAATGCTGTACAACAAAGAGGCCATCTTGACACCGGGAGTGCGTTGGCAGCAAAGATTGGGACGACTGGAGTGGCTGGGGCAGCCGTTCACCTACGTGCGACATGCTAAAAGATTTGATGTACAGCTAGAATTTCACAGTGCTCAGCTGCTACATGCTACTCTACACGAGGGACTCTTGCACGTAATTCTTCCAAGATATTTGCTGGACGACGCGGCTGCGAATTCCTGAGAGGCAAATGTTGCAGTTGCAATGTCTCTGAACAGCTTTGGAAGACCCCTTGCGTGCAATGTGACATTTCATCTGGTGCAAGTGGACCTGAAATGGTTTATTATTTGTTCGTTCGGAGCGAACCCATCACAGCATGTTATAGCTGCAAGATGCTGCAAGTGTGTGTCGTAGCTGTGGTAATCTCAACAATTTGAAGGAATCATCCCTTTGGAGGTGCTTTGGATATCGTTGGATCCATGAGTTCCCTTGAACGGGTGATAACGAGTGGTTCACGGAATGTAGGAGTTCCATGGAACCCGCTAAGCCGCCAAGCTAAGCGCCAAGTAACACCACGGTGTTGCGTCGAACGACCGTTCTGGTGGGACGCAGCTGCTGCCTTGAAATGGTCGGGAACTTTCGACTGGCATCCTCGGCTTGACGCACCCTTGGTTTGCCCTGTCAAAATCGACCCGTGCCAATTCTTGGATGTAGTGAACAAGGGATCAATATACTCCAAGTATCTGGCTTATTTCTGGCTAATCATGGTTGTTAAAATTATTCCTGTTACATCTGCTGCAATTTATCTCATCATCCTAAGAATTCTAGCCATTAACGTCAACCGCCGATTGCTACAGGACGTCTTTTTCCGAATATCAAGTATTAAACTTTATGAAAAAAAGTGGGTGGCCCATGTTTCATGGCGCTTTGTTCATCCCTGGCTTAACATCAGCAGCTTCTCCGGTCACCGTTTTCACGCGCTAGTTACGACGCCAGGCGTCATCGGGACCCGTCTCGGGCCAATGCTCGGCAGCGAGGGCCACGGCCAGATCCACTGAGCCTGGATCCTCCCGAGAAGTGAAGACCAAGTCCTCAACGGAAACCACCGTTTTTAATAGGGAAATCAACTATAAATAGCCATTTTCAATAGCTATGTTAGCCATTACCAGAGGGTACATCAGTTGGGCTAACTTACTGGTGCGTTTTACGTAGGGAATGGATGGGTTGGGGGTTGCTGGGATTCTTGATAGTTAGCCAGTGGATCATTTTTATCCATTCCCTACGTTTAGCACAAGTAAGTAGAGGCGTTGTTGGAAAATGAATGGAAAATGGGGCATACCCAACAGGGAAAAACCAGTGATACAATGGGATCTTGTAGGATATGTTAAGGATATGATAGGGATAGACGACCAACTATGTTAACTATGTCCGATTTAAGGGTGTGTTTTTTCAGATGGGGCAATATGGGGCATACCCCAAAAATGGATCAACATGGCGGTTTTGACATGATATGATTTACCATGATAATACCCTCTGGTAAACTAACATAGCTACGGAAAATCACCATTTTTAATGGGAAAACTCACTATTTCTATGGTCATTTTCCATAGCTATGTTACATTACCAGAGGGTATTATCATGATAATCGACCATGCAATTTGGGAGCACCTGTGTGTACCCTATTTCCAGACAAACCCAATTTGGGCCACATAGCACAAAATGCACCTGGCCATGGACTCTGACAATGGTGTAAAGCGATAGGCCTCCAGAAGTATAGATTGGTCGTAAACCCAGGTGCTGGTAGAAACATCTCTGGGCCTCATCCTCATCATCATCATCAGCAGCATCATCAGCATCATCCTCATCATCATCATCATCATCAGCATCATCAGCACCAGCACCACCATCACCACCATCCATCACCATCCATCACCATCCATCACCATCCATCCATCCATCGTCACTACTCAAAGTCGGCCGGCCGTTCTTTGGACCTTTGAACATCAACCATGGCGACCATGGCGCCATGCCGTAGCTGGTCAGCAGTGCTTCACAGATCGCTGGCAGCTGTCGAAGCAACTTCTGTGGCGATTCCTTTGGCAAAAGATCCGCCTTGTGGCCTTGGCGCCACCGTGTTGGCGGAGCGTCATGACCGGGGGGTGGGAACCAGAAAATGTGATAATGTGGCCACACATATTGTGAATTATTTGCGCAACAGAAGCTCCCATGTCCATGAAATTAGTCAGAAGCTGTTGTTAGCCAGGCATCCGGCAGCATGCATCCCATCAAAATCAAAGTGTGAATTTGATGTGACATTTGTCAACTGCCACGTATGCACTTCGAATGGCGAGCTGCAAACCAAAAGCTTCGGCATCAAGCGGAACTTATTCGGTCCCACCGTTTGCTTCAACTCTGCAATGCACCATGCAGCTTTATTCAGTGAATCCTCCATGCAGCTTGCATCGAAAACGAAGAGTGCCGCGCTGTGACCATTGTACAAAGCGGCTGAAAACCTCGGTTGCTGCAAAATGTGGCGACAGATTCCGCCCCTGTCGCAGGAAGTTGATGCACTTCATCGCACGCATATAGAGCGTTGTCCCAAAGGACGGTTGACATCACTCTGGAAATTTGAGCATGAGCAATACATGAGTAATACCCCCCCCTTTGGCCCCCCTGGATCTAATCATCTTGGGGGCCTTGGGCGGATGGGATTACGTTGGAATATCAAACATGGCTAGCTGGACAATCCCCTGTCTAGTTTGATGCTTCTCCCCGCTATAAACATTCTTTTCATAGATGATTTTCATGGAATTTCCGTGATTTCCTTTGGTTTTCCCAGCTATAGAGCTCCATTTACAGTAGTTCGGGGATTTCCCAACCCATGTAGCTCCTGAAAAACGTGCCCTGCCGTGCCGGGTAACGGTGTGACGATAGCAGTGGAGCGCTTGTCGACTGCCGAGATGGACAATTTCTGATTGTTCAGCTCTGCTGAGAAGTTCATCAGTGACATGTCCTGACGCTGGAGATTTGGCCAAGGACACTCTGAGATTCTCATGTCCAGAGTCCAGATATGTGTATGTATATATTACATATATTTACATATATATATATATGATATATATATATATATTATATTATATTATATACTGTATGTCTACATATGTTTAAATAGAGATGTTGATGTATTTCTTGATAGTTGAGATCTTTCTAGATCCATCCTTTGGTATAGATCCATCCAATGACATCCTCATCATCACGCCACTCACCACCCATAAACCGTCTAATCCGCAATTTTTCGGATGAAAATAGGATTGCTTTTGACAAGCTCAGTCTAGATATACTATAAACACACATATCAACACAACTCAACACATATAATCACATATATAAATAGTTTTTCCAGCATTTTCATGGCATTTTCTGGCATCTTCCACGTGTTTTGCTGGGTAAAAGGTCCTTCCCTTGGTGCGACTTCAACTCATCCCTCCGCGCCATGAGTTGCACCAGGCTGGAGATTCCACTGCCGCGGGCTCCGGTGACGATGAGTCGGTAGCGCTGACTTTTGTTCACCTCGCTACCACGGCGGACCAAAACATGGATACATGCAGGATGGTGCCCCCCAGTTATAAGTGGGTTTATAAACCCCATTAACTATAGTTATATCTGCCATAAACCATAGTTTTGGGACTTAGCTAACTATGGGGCACCACCTTGTGGGGACTTCAATGTACTTTACCAAGGATAAACCGACCAAAACATGGGGACTTGGGGACTTCAATGGACTTTAGCAAGGTGAAGTCTAACCAAACAAACGTGGATTTCACCGAAAACATGGGAGAATATGACCATCTATTTAAAGAGGATTTCCTGTAGATTGTACCAAGTCTGGGAATGGGATACCAAGGGCATGGGATCCAACACATGTGGAACCGATGGGATTTATCCTACAAAAGGAGCGCCTGACACCACGAAGCCTCAGGTTGTGACATGTTCACTTCCTATCATATCCATATCTACTTTAAAGGGGACGCATTTTGGTAGTCCATCGCAATTATACATAATTATACTGGAGATATCTCAACAAAGGCAATGCAGGTATATGCAGGTAGCTATCCACACGTATCCCATGTATAGAATCCCCATATGAAAACCCCAAATTTCCAAGTCATCTCCCTTCAAATCCCCACGGCCATGGGATGGCCATGGGTTGAACCAAATCACTGGTGGCCGTTCGATGGGCGCGTCAGCCGCGTCAGCATCTTCCCGTTGGAGCTTGCATCGTTCGACCGCCGCGCTCAAGCGTTGGGCCTACAAGAAGTATGTCACATATGCGCACAGAAACATACACACAATACAGAAAAACACACACATATATAGACACAATATTTATTTATGTATAACTATATATAATTATGTTCATACATGTGATGTTGTATGCACATATGGCATTTACATGCATTTACATCACATAGAATCTGCCAATTCTCTCTGTCTAAAGGCTCCACCTTTTGCATCGTGGAGGTCTTGTCATCGTGTAGAAAGGCTGAAGATTCTGACAGCAACTCGCTCCACAGCAAGGAGGATTCGGGGATGGCCTCAGGTCCAACTGACTGGGTGAAAGACCTCCGAAAGAGTTAAGGTTATTTCTTTTAGCAGTGTATCCTGTTAAACCTCCACTTAGAGTAACCCATGAAGCAATCAAACCAGAGCCAAGGTTTTTCAGCCAAGTGCAACTGGGAGCACTTCTGAGAACATGGATGCTGCAGTGCGCAACGTGCTCAGCGTTGTGCCACTGCAGAACTTCAGGGCGAATGGAAGCCTTGCAGGGACAACCCCTTCCAGTTGGGATGGACGTCCATCTGCCATTTGAACATGGAAATGGAAAGACGAGCGGCATTTGGACATTTGCCAGCGTCTGAATTCCGCACTCCGCCATGAGAAAGTTGCCCTGGCTGCGTTGTCCTCTATCTTGGGCCATCAGCTGAACATCCCCGATCTGCTCGAAAGACTTGGTTTCTAATTCCCCAGTGGCTGATATGAGTAGTGTTCAAAACCCCCTGTTGGTTGATTTTATAGTTCGGGGATTCTACTAGCCTTCATATATATATATATTGGAGATCATCATCATCATCATCATCGTCATCATCGTCATCATCGTCATCATCCAATAACCCATCTTTTTTCCATCCTCTTTTTCTTTCAAGCCGTCGCTTCCAATTCGGTGCAACGGGGATCGGCGGCTCCGAGCCTTTGGATTGAAAACACAGATCTGGACACTGGCCATGCCACATTTGATATCAGTTGATCAGTTGAATCTTCCAAAATTCATTTTGAAACATGGTTCAGCATGAACTTCAACTTTGAAACCACCAACGATTGTTCCGGGGATTCTGATGGCTCTGGAGCCCAAGTGGCGTCTCAGAGGCATCCAACCTGGGAGGTCAACTGGGGCAGTGAAGATTGCGTTGAGAACTGGGGTGGAAATCTCGAAAATCAATATAGAATAGCCAGGGTCCAAACACTTTTGATCAACAAGAATAGCCACTTTTGAGTCGAGTGGATGGCCGAAGCCGCAAAGTCGCAAAGTCACAAACAAAAACCCAGGCATGGGGAAAAACCATGAAAGCACATCATCAGTGGACATGATCCATTTAGCTGCTCCGGTGCTGCTATGGAAAGTGAATCGTATCAATGATGGTTCCTGCCTGTACAATGGAGCAAAGGGCTTCCATGCCAAGTAGAGACTACGCCTCGGCTGTCAAATCATGTCTTGGACCATTGGTGGAATGTAGTGTCGAATGATGCCAGACCCTTTGGCGGCGAGAATCGGTCCCATTCGTAACCCGAATGTGTGTATATAAATATGTTATATGTATGTGTGTAATGTAATGGACTGGAATGAAATGGCATGGCACGGAATGTAATGTAATGTAATGTAATGTTATGTATGTATATACTATGTGTGTGTGTATGTCTAATTGGGCATGTCCTATACAATGACAACAGTTAATAACACCAATAACAATAATAATCAAAACAGTAACAATAACACTAATCATGACATTAATAACACGACTAACAATAACAATAGTATAATAACCACAATGTAACAATCATAACCATATGCATGTATATATATATATATTATATACACCCTCTGGTAAACTAACATAACTATGGAAAATCACAATTTTTAATGGGTAAATCCACTATACATGGTTATTTTCAATAGCTTTTTGTATGTTTACATCCTCCCATCCCATCCCGGCCATCCCGGCCAAGCCGCAGCCATTGCTGCCGCGGCCGCCAGACCTTGCCCTCGGCACTGCGGGCAGGTCGTGCAGAAGAAGCAGCGGCTCTGCCACGGCTCGTCGTGGCGAATACCTGCGGGGGCTGCCGGTCAAGAAAACAATGGCACTTCAGCAGCAAAGATCGAGATAAAACCCACAATGTCTTGGGTTTTAAGTTGATATAAATTGGATACCATGGATGGTATGGGGTTGATCGACATTAAACCATGTTGCACTGAACATTTTATAGATGGTATGGGGATACGATGACATTTCCTTTTGAAGAATTATGACCAACAGTATAAAACCAACCATTTTTTGGGAAAACCTTAGGGAATATCCGACAAAACATGGATCTAAAACAACGACCATATCAGCTCATGAAGATACAATTAATATTGAACCACCATTTACATCCATTTACCGGATTTTAATTTAAGCACCCACCCGAAATTGAACGTGGACAGCAAAAAAGATGGCCACATCCAGCGGAAAGACAAAATTGGGGCTCTAAGTTAAATTATGTTAAGTTTAGGGAAGTACGAGTAACAATGTCTGAGATCAGGGTTTCATGCTTTCAGTTATGCTTTCAGCATCTTTCAGCTGTTAAAATGGAGGCAACATGAGGCAACCATGACAAACATGGTGATATCGTTTTCAAGCAAGAGGCTGCTGGAACTTGACTTGATTTTTTTTAGGCCATACTTACAACATCAGCATCGCCAAGTTGGACATCACCATGAAACACATTCAAACATGGGGGTATTGGAGCCGTCCAACATGAGTTTTTTCGCCCTTCAACATGATCACCATGGCAAACCATGGCCTGTGTGTAGTAAGGTTGGTGAGGATTCGGTTTGGCAAAGCTTATAATGCACCATTTTGCACCATCCAAAATGTCTCATTGTACAACGAACCAGTGGTTTTTACAATCAATCTATTGATGGCCGCATCCCCATCCGTTGACGGTTGTATTGTCAAAGCAATGTATGGTTTCCAACGGTTTACCACAAAAATATCAACAAAACATCTTTAACAAGCGAACGACTCAGCTCCGAGGGTTTTAAAATCCACCAAATGCTCCACTTTTTTTAAAAAGCCAACAAACCCAGACATGTCACTGGACTTATGGAGAAAGCCGCGGCCACCACATTTGCAGCTGCTCTGAGACGCGCTCCGCAAGGACCTTCGGCAGCCCATGCCTCTACAGACCTGACAGTCTTGGCAGAAGAAGCAACGCTCCTGGGCCAGCTGGATCTGGGGAAAACATCGTAACCATGATATAGATCCATTAGATATCATCAGACCCCATTAGTTATTGGTAATCATTATTGTAAAGTTATGTAAAGTTACTATGAGAGGAATGGGATGAACTAATTAGCTTTGTTTTGTACATAGACATGGTAGAAATCATTACTAATAACATCTAATATTACTAATAACATCTAATAATTAACAATTCAGTGTATAATATATACACCATCGTTGTCGTTGTTAATAATTAACATACTATGATACTAATGTCCATCACTATATCATCACCATTGGTGTGATAAATTACTGTGATGGTTAAACATTCTAGTTACCACCATGACACACACACACATGTTGGTATAAGCCGTATATATCTATATATATAATATAGTTACATGTGCCAAGGACTTGTTCGCAAGCCTGACATGTTGATAAGTGATGGCCATTTGGGGATGATGCCATGCACCCATGCACTGCAGGTGATTTTGGAACTAAAAGTGAGACCTGATGGTTGGTAAACATACAGAGATTGCAAAATTGATGTGCCTTCCAAACTTCCAGGTCGCATCAAATACTATTTCATCAAGGTCCATGAATACTGATTGCGTAAATTTGCAGCGTAATCCAAGTGTCGTGCTCTGGCATATCGTGCTCCATACACGAGTTATGGCGAAAGCCAAGGCCATTGCAATGTCCACAGCCTGTCTTCACTGCACTACTGTCCATTGCGTCCACCATGGCTTCTAGTCTTCTGATGTTGCGGTCCATCATCCACCTGCAGCGCAGCATAGCGCAGCTTCACAAAGCCTTCACTTCCTGACCTGACCTATGGAAGTGAAAAATCATATTGCACGTTTTTTTTTCCCACCCCTCTTGGAGAGAAGTAGTATATAATAATGTATATATATATATATACATACCTATGTATATTCATATGGTCGTTCTCATATTGAATAACTGTTGGCACCAAGTGGCATCAGTACACTATCTTGCTCGACCCCCAACCCGCCCATTTGGCCCATTCGCCGGCCCAAAACGGAAGGCATCGCCGCAGTCACCGCACGCACTTCAGCGTCGCTGCGGAGCAACTCCCCTCCTCGGTACATGGGAAATGTCAAGTGGATTCCCCATGGCATGCAGTTTGGAAAATGACATTGCCACAAAGGTCTCACATGGTCTCACCATATCTCACCATCACATAGCATCCAAAATTTTGATGATTGGAAACAGGTCTTCCATTCACTGGGGACAGATCTACCAGCGTCACCGTCAAATCATCTCCGATCTTCCCACTGCCCCAGCTTCGTGCTGGCGCGGATGGAAGCATTTCCACCAGGGGAGGGCCTTCCACGGCCAACGGCGCCAGTGGCACTGACGCTGTGACGGGAATGCCCACCACCACCGCGCCAAGGGGAGCTGGAGGAGCTGGAGGAAGCAGAAACTGCTGCAGGATGGGCACCTGAGAACCAGAAAAAGGTGGGGAAGTTGGGGGAAGACTGGATTTGTCATGCTTTATCCTAGAGATTCGAGATGATTTGAAAAATCGACGAAGATTTACCTCACAACTTGGTCCTCTGCTTCGTTTCCCAAGTTTTGTAGTGGGTCATGCAGTCATGCAGGTGTGGTTTGAGGCTCTACTATTTACCCTCTGGTAAACTAACATAACCATGGAAAATCACCATTTTCAATGGGTAAATCCACTATAAATGGTCATTTTCAATAGCTATGTTAGTCATTACCAGAGGGTACTCCCGTGGTTTTTTTCGCCTTTCCGGCACCTGTGAGAGGCTTTGCAGCTGCCCTGCCAGGTGCGTCATGTAGACGGCCAAGCCCAAGCGCCGATGTTCCATGAAGCCACCGAGGCTCAGAGCTTTTCGCAGGCCAAAGGTACCCTTCCTGACATGGCAACGGTTCGAAAAAGCCATGGACATGCCATGGACTGAAACCACTAACATAACTATGGAAAACCACCATTTTTAATGGGAACATCCACTATTTCTATGGCAATTTTCAATAGCTTTTTGTATGTTTACCAGATGGTACAAGATTCTACAAACATGCCCCTTCAAGACGCCGTTCCAAGTTGAGCTTCTGTGGGAGTGGCACCCGCGAAATTGTAGATGAGGACGCCAATTGCGAATCCAAGTCAATGAATTGACTGAAGCGCCTCTGAACCAGCCATTCTTGGTGATTTTCTCGCACCCGGATGGCATACCACGTGGCACCATCAAAGTCTGAACTATGGAGCACTTGAATTTGGACGCTCATGGCGACAACTTCTCTGTCGTCCCTTTTGAAACTCTTTACTATTGCTGCGGGCACATGTGGCTCTTTCAAAATCTTGCCAAATGCTTGCTGGGGACATTTGGAAGTGTTTGTATTTGTTCAACACATACAGTATATTATAAATGCACATCCAAATTGTTTTGATCCATTTTGGGAAAAACAAACATTTGGATATTTGGATGGATTGCTCCCAAATTCCACTGATTACGCCTCTGAATCCACGATGCTTTCCCACGCACGTTCACGGGAGCTCTCTCCAAGTGGTCAGTAAAACTGAACACCGAAAGGCATTGTGAAGGGATTTGGTCGAGCGATCGGCCACCAGAACAAAACACTTAGGTTGAAATTCCGAAACAGTTGGACAAAGAAATTTGTGGATCACAATGGCAGGACGGTTTGCGTGGATCTATGTGTGCACCTCTTGTCTTTGACAAGTGCGCGCCCTTTGCTATGCACTGATCTTTTCAAATGGAGCCAGCTTCCCTTCTCTGGAGAGACTCGGAGTATTGGTTCTCACTTTGAGCTGGAAACACTGGAAGGAAAATCTACAGGAAACCATGGTTTTTCCCCGTCAAATTTAGGGGTTTCCTGTAATTTTTCCCTTAAACCAATCCATTGATGGAAGGCTGGACCCCTTTCTCACCAAAAAAAAGGTATCACTTTGACCTTTTGCGCCACTCAATTCATTGCTCACCTGCAGCAACTCAGGGGCAGTCGCTTTTTTTTGTAATTCCAGATATGAATGGAACAGTACGCAGTAAGTAGATAATTACCCTACCCATGACGGATCCATGGTGCTGCTATATATGGTAACATGGATCCCATCAATATACCTCCTTTATGTTAGTATATATACCAGCACCATGGATCCTATGGTTTATTAATTAGGGGGGTACTCCTCCAATAGTCATTTCATCTGATACATAAATGGTACCCTCCCAATAAAAAACAGCCGTAAACGGGGTTTATTAATCCAGGGTTGACATTAATTACCCTAGGGTAAACGAACACTCAGATGTGGAACAAAAAAACAATGCTTTCCCGTTTGATCAGCTGAGCTTCCAGCAGCGAGTTCAGCCAGGTTTGGGGGATTTGCCACCTGGGTATATGGGGAACAGCCAACCACATATGGGGGAAATGAAGGGAACTTGTATATATTATATGAGATATTATATGTATATAAAATATTAATCAATGTATATCCAAACATGCACCTACGAGTCCCATTTGGCCCATTGCGCGGGGATGGTTTATACTTGGGTTTGACACATGAATGGACATACCCTCTGGTGAACTAACATAGCAATGGAAAATGGCTATTTATAGTGGATTTTCCCATTAAGAATGGTGATTTTCCATTGCTATGTTAGTTCACCAGAGGGTAATTCACATGATGCTTTAAACTCTTGGATTTTGGGACAGCATTTGACACGTTCATGACACGTAGCCGACATAGCCTGTCGCTGGTCAAAGGTCCTGGCGCGAGTGCCTCGACGTCGAAGCCCTGACAAGTCCCAGGCTCAAGGGAAGCCACTGAACGTGGGATAGATCAAACATCTAGATACAGAATATTTGTGTATAAATATAAAAATAAATATATAAATATATAAATAAATATAAACATATATATATAAAATATAAATAGATAGATAAATATATGAATATATAAATGAATATAAACATATATATATACATATAAAATAAATATACAAATATATAGATAAGTATATAAATAAGTATATAAATATACTTAAAATAAATAAATAAATAAATAAATAAATATATGATCAATAAATAAATAAGTAAATAAATAAATAAATTAATAAATATATGAATCAATAAATAAATAAAAAAAAAAATAAATAAATATATATATATATTGCAAATATCTATATATTATATATTATTATGTAGGATTACAGTTGAGCTGCAATTTTTATGGGGCCTTCCAACATAAGCCTGTTGTGACAGTGGGGTCAATCCATCTCAGAGCATCCTTTTCGCAGAAAGTTCACATCGAAGTCGCTCCTTTCCCGTGCCGCAGCATGCACAGCCAATCCAGATTCGGACAGCTGGCATGACTCGGGAAGCTAGCGCTTCAAGCCTAACATACCCTAACATTCAGACCCAAAAACCAAAAACTAATGGCAGAAACATGCAAAAATGATCTGAGTCCATCAATTCGTTTGACATGTAGAGGTTTTTTTGTCAACCCGTAGACGGAGATTGCCAGCTACAGCGGCAGGTTTTCGCCAGCTGTCAAGCACCAGAGCAAGGATAGGTCTTCCCAAGAAGTCATGGATCCTAGATACCATGCGAAAAATAAATTGTTAGCTGATGTTAGCTGGTTGGTGGACATTCCTAATTATAGCAAAACATACCAAAGGATTTTTCACTATCCATCTATCCATCTAAGGTTGACCTAGACTTCTGGAGTTGGATGACGCACAAGATATTCTTAGGCTTTTGAATCTCAAAGACTGAGAATGGAAGATTTGGGAACGCAGCTATTGAAAATTCGTAGACCCATCTTGTCTGAGCGAAGCCAACCCGAGCCCTGGTCAGCATTCCTGTTCCAAAAAGGCGGACCTACAGCATCATCCAACATTAGTGGCATCAGTTCTGCTAGTCGCCACAAGATAATCTAGAAAGGACAGCCTTTCTAGGGCCATCTTAATCATATCTGATTTTCAATCCAGAAAAACGGCCATGATGACCATTTTGGAAACATCGTATTGTTTTGCTGATCCAAGACTGGAAACTCCATGCCATGCTGCACCGAATTTTCGGTCACTTTGGCAGCTGGCACGGCTGACTTCACGAAGCCGGAGCCATCATCTTCCTGTGACAACTGGGGTTCTGAAGCCCGCAAAACCAGGGTTGCAAAACGATGGATTGATTTAAGGGACAGTTTACAGGAAAACCCCATATTTCATGGGAACATCTATGGTTTCCTGTCGATTTTCCCTTAAACCAATTCATTGAAACATGTCCCAACATATCCAACATGTCTTAAGCATCTTTTTAAGCCAACTGGGGATGCAAACTCAACATCTAACTGCCACAAACTGATGGCACCTTCATCCCACCAGCGTCATGGGTCCTGGGCGCGGACTGGCATGGAAACACTGAAAAGCCTGGCAATTCTAAGAAGAAAGATGATGATAAGCCATGATAAACCCTTGGGATTTTATCACTATTACAGACCATTGGAGTTCTTCACCCCAAGCCTTTGCTGCAGCTATCTCCAATCCAGCAGTCCATCTGCCGAGCTTCGATTCATCCCCATCTTCATCATTTGACCCAGGCTTGGTTTCATAGATGCGGATCTCTGCTCACCTGAAAAAAATCGGCGGCAGAACGGTGAAACATAGTTGGGCCATGTTGGGCCAATAGCAACGATCTTTGCGTCCATCCGTGATTTGAACTCTATGAATCTTAATACAAACACAATATACATATATACATTATAAAAATCAACCAACAGAAAACACATAAAATAGTACAAAACAATACAAAACACACATCAGATACATCAGCAAAAAACTTCCTGACATTAAACAAGCAAGCGAGGCAGGATTCGACCAGGCCTGGTTGCCCACTCTTGAAGCGTCGCTTTAGGTACTGGCCTTGCCGCTGAACGTGGGAAATCCATGAGCATCAGCATCACCATAGCATCCCCGGTTATAATGCGAACATATGACTGGTTGATGGTGCAATGTGCCCATCTTGAAACATATGAAAGTCAATGGGCAGGATGACATCCCATATAATTACTATGGAAAAAAGAAAATGTTTGAAACCACCAACCAGATGAGATCATCATCTCCAATCAGGCGATTTTCTAAGTCGATCACCAGCACCAATGGATACCAATGGTTACGCTGAAAATCGCCAAGGAGCCCTTGTGCAGAGCAGCAGGCATGCGCGGGTTCATGGGGTCCACCATGGCACAAAAGTTCAGGTAATTGAACCTTCGGCCGCGAAACGCCAGGTGGAAAATGACATGGCTATGTCTTTTCCGGGACGGATGGTCGCAGGATGTATACCCAGACTTTCAAATGTCCAAAAACAAAGCTGTTTGCTGATGTTTGTTCAAGACTTGATTGATGCAAAGTCGCGGGCTGTTGTGAAATCTGAGGGAACAAGTGCAACCACGCGCATGACTTTCTGACCCGAATGGTTCTGTCTTCCCGCAGGCGCTGCTTAATCCAAGAGGCTCTTTGCCACACTCCTCAGCCGGTGGTGTGGCGGGTGGTCAATGTCAGTCCTCTATTCATCAGAAAAACACGGATGAGAACTGGGTTGGAAAGAATAAAATTCTATTTTCATTCATATCCACAGTTTCCACATCAGTTGTAGTTCTGTGAATCTGCTTGCCACATCACAATCCACATCTGAAAATTCAGTTTAACCACGCTAGTTTCCACAGAATCTGAGTGACTTTGTTCCACAACCCCTAGTCATCCAGATCATCCAAGCAGCTGTGTCGCAATACGCCTTGCAAAGCACCATCAAATCATGTTCTGCCAGAGATTTCACATTGATGTCATCCATGGCCTTGGATGAATAGCATGGCAGCATGGCGCAGCCACGTCAAATCCCATCATTTTTCGTTCCCAGTTGGTTATCCTCTGGTAAACTAAGAGTTTGCGAACTGGAAAATGATCATCTTTGATAGGAAAATCAACTATTTCTATGGGCAACTTTCAAGAGCTATGTTGAATTACCAGAGGCTATCCCCAGCCATTCCAAGCCATCCCTTTTTTGCCAGGAACTCGCCAAAAGCTGCGTGCCAGCACGTGTCCATAGGGCGCTTGCCCTGGCTTTTTGTAGTTCTCAAAGATGGCCAAGATGTCCAAGCCACGGGCTTTCACATACCCTCGGGCCATGGATAGATGGCGGGGAAGGGAAGATCAAGAGCCGCCCTCGCGAGGGAAGGTTTTGAAGCTGAATAATACCCCAAAAATAGGGATACCACAAGACTACATAAGACTACCATCTCTCTCTCTCTCTATAGTAGACATTGGACAAATCATGATACATGAAATTACATGAAGAAATGATGATAAATGCCCGGAATTGGGGGGCATGGCATTTTCACACAAACCTAGATCTTGACAGCAAGCTCCGCTACTTCTACCACACACACACACACACACAGCCTTTCGCAAGACTTCGTGCTCCACCACTGTTATACTGTTCAAGTCTAACTATCCGCTATTCACGTACCTGGCTGAAGAATAACAATAATAACAATAATAATCATTATGATAATCATAGTAACAACCACCCTGGTAGCAATAATCATCCACCACCACAATGGAGCCCTTTCGGGATTGTTCAACCTGTACTCTGAGCGCTGAGTCAAGCTGCTTGCGACGGCCGACTCAACCTGCCAGGCACGCTGGTTGACCGGATGCTGAAGGCAGGAATGCCCCAACTGTAGAACTTTTTGAATACCCTCCCGTAAACTAACATAACCATGGAAAATCACCATTTTTTATGGGTAAATCCACTATTTCTATGGCCATGTTCAATAGCTTTTTGTATGTTTACCAGAGGGTAATGAGGGATTAGCCCAAAGTCATAAAATATCACCATTCCCAGTCCCGGTAGGTTTATGGCATTGGGTTGCACTACTTTGAATGGCCAGATCTTCCTGTTGCAGAAGGGTTCATCGACACAAACGATAAAACATCCCAAGGTGCATGGCCTAAGAACTCAAAAGAAGCTGAGAACAAAGTTGCCAAGCTATGGCAACATCCTAGCTGATATAAGTAATACTTATAATTATATAGTATATATAAGTGTCCCTATGGACCTATGGTGATGTCCAATGTATGGCCAATATATGGCTGCCGAGTCCCCAGATCCGATGGATCCGCTGGATCTCTGTGCCTTCTGAAGGATCTTCAAGTCCGCCTCCCTCAACGGCACGTGCAGCTTAGATTTCTCTTGGACTCCGGCTGCGGCCAGAGTTTTTTCGGTTTGGCTGCGCACGGATTCGTCCAAATCCATGCAGAAGTCGTGGTAGCAGAAGTGGTTTTCAGGTGTTCTATACCTGCATCACTGTCAGTTGTGGAATTCGACATGTAAGGGATCGAAATGGCAAATGCATGCAAATGCTATCTTGGTGGCCGTGTCCCGAAGATGCTGCAACAAAGGTGCAAATAAATCTGAACAACAGTGATCCCGCAAACCTTCCCAGATTCATGGCTAACCTCGGAAACCCTGCCCAAAACTCAGGGGTAATATTAGGGAATCTTGTATTTTCCCATATTTTCCCTATATTTCCCCCATCCCAAAAATGATTCAACAAATCCATAAAATCCCATTGATGTCTAGCCGATTCCGTTCCGTTCCTATCCAGCCTGTTGTAGAGTTCCAGCATCTCAGAGAGGCTTAGATTTAGACCCATGGTGTTCAGCGCGTTCTTGAAGCCAATTTGAGGCACCACACCTCGAAGAAACGACCCAAAACCAGCCAGCCTTTCATCTGGAATCCCAAGCAGATTAAATATCTGATGAACACCATATAACTTACATGTACTTACAGTATCTTACAGTAAGTTCTGCCATGGTCATATATGTCTCCAATAATTTTATACACCACAAATATACCCTATATACACCCTCTAAAAATCACACACACACACATGTATTATATATATATCATATGTATAGTCTTTACATAGCCATAGATCCACATCCCTACCATCCCAATCCCATCCCTGTGATCCCTACACCGCATCCCTACGCCTCGCCGGAGCCGATCGAAGTCCTGGAAACTGTCCCAGAGCCGGACGCGATGAGTGAGGACGTAGGACCTCAACGTGGTCCTCGCGACGAAAAATGTGGGAAAAATGGGAGAAAAATCTAATTTTTACGACGAAAGTGTTCATGGGAAGCTGTGGGAACCAATGACACTCGTTGATAATTCATGATCATATAATATTAGATACTGGCAAACAATGAAATCAATCATTTAAAGAGAATTAGATCATATATTAGTTACTGATTTAGAGGACTGGGAACTAAAGATTAACAGATATATCAAAATCCTGGCTTTGGGCTTGAACATAAACCCAGTCATGGAGTGTGAGGATCATCTGATGATGGTTGGAGTATGTTGGAGTCATGAAAAATGGAGAAAGATCCCTCCCCAAAAAAATAGTAAACACATGATCACCAAGAAGGGTCCCTTAAATGAATAGATCCAATAACAAATCAAGGTTTCGTTTGAGGGATGTTTAATGTTAGGGCGAAGGGATGAAAATGAAGTAGACCAGTTTTTGGAGGACGCCATGGATGATTCTTTTAAGCTAATACTAATACTGTAAAAGGCTCTAGATTTCCAACATGTTTGCATCTGTTTTCGGGAGATGATTCACGATGGATATGAATATAGAATGGTACAGTGGACTTCTTACGATTGGAATCTTGGGATTCGCCCACCACAGGCTGCACCCCTCGGTTCCAGTACTGGTTTGCTACTCCCCAACCATCCCCAACCAATATATGAATCATCCCAAACAAAATTTCCGAAAAACCAAGGGGCACAATCAAATCAAACGTATCAAACAAAAAAAAAGATATGACACCCAAAAATGGCGTTTTGCATCACCAAAAACTGGCCGGTTCTCACCCCAAGGCGCATGATATCAGGCTTCACATAGTGCCGCCCTGCGGCCCCGGCCGTGCGCGGCCGTGGGGGTAGCGCGGGTGGATCCTCAGGCCTGACACGTGGAGCCAACTACCCTGGGGGAAACATACCAAACATACCAAACATACCAAACATACCAAACATGTGGGAAAAAAACATGGTTTCTCTAGGAAAAATGATCGAGAAATGGTGGCCTTTCCACATCTATCTTTGTTGACCAGGGTGCAGTAATTTGGCGGCACATTGTGTTCTGAGTTCATGCCCGGCAAAATGTGGGGGAATACCGCTGTCCAACAATCAACAAAAACGATTAAGACCAGTGGAATCAACCATATCAAGTATCATACCCATATCAAACAAATCATAACATCCCAATTTTAAATAGAGTTTCATTTCATCATATCCATATATATATAATTAAATATATACCCTCTGGTTATTTAACATAGCCATGGAAATAGCCCATTTATGATGATTTTCCCATTAAAACCTCCATTTATAAGGGATTTTCCATGGCTATGTTAAATACCCAGATGGTAAGTTAAATGGAAATCAATTAATACCCATGGATAGTTTAATCCAGTGAATCCCATGGTGCCATGGAGGCCCTGGGGGGCTCCCAGAACCACGGTCCGTGTCTCCGCCTGCTCGCTCGAGCGCTCTGGGGCCTCTGGGGCCTCTGCCGTTGCAAATCGCTGGCGTCCCAGCGATCGTCCTGGAATGGGCTGAGGATTCCCGTGGCGCGGCAGGTGAGGATTGCCTGGTTGGTTACCCTCTGGTAAACATACAAAAAGCTATTGAACATGGCCGAAATAGTGGATTTACCTAAACCCTTGGTTGAAGATTGGCTCCAGTAAGCTTCCTTTGTTCATTGGGGATTATTAGGATACACTAGGATTACCCTCTAGTTATTTAACATAGCCATGGAAAATGGCCCATTTATAGATGGTTTACCTGGGTTTACCTATTAAAAATGGTGATTTTCCATGGCTATGTTAAATAACCAGATGGTATCATAATCCATCAGGAATGGGGAAATTTGTTCTTACCCTCTGTTAAAGTAAGATAACCATGAAAAATCACCGCTCAGGTGGTCTTGGGAAGATGAGTCGGGAATTAGATTAAAAAACATGTGAATACCATTTACCCTCTGGTAAATTAACATAGACCCTGGCAGATAGGGGTTGGAAGATTAGTTTCCATTAAAACTAGGCTATTTTCAGGGTCTATGTTAATTTACCAGAGGGTACAGTAATACCAACAAGATCCAACAAGATCCAACCCCAATAATCCAACTGAGAATTTCCTGATTCTGTTGGGAAGACTTGACAAACTGGCGCCAACGGCAGTTCTCCTCGATCCCATCAACACCTTGCTTGGCATAGATGGAACGCACGCGTGCGCTTTGCGGCCGGCGATAACCTGCGACTGTTACCCGCTGAACTCCCGGGAAATTCTGATGTGCATATATGTGCATATAACATGCGACCTAGACTTCTATGAATATATGATTTCTATATGATTTCTATATGATTTCTATATGATTTCTACATGAACGGTGGTGATTTTGGGGCCTACATTGCATGATTCTATGCTTTGAATTACTCTAAAGATCGGGGTGGTCATCCTGAGGTCATTACCTTTCAGCAACAGAGGGCTCCCATCCTGAGGCCCCCAACGTTGCAAGGGGAAGCCTGGTGAACTGGATGCATGCATCGAAGGAGCTGCCGTCTCTGTCTCGCAGACAAAGTCTTCGACCTCAGGAGACTCTCTGGCTGCCTCAAGCTCTGAGTGATGATCATGTGATCATTTATCAACATCTGTGATCATCATGTTCACCTCACGTCGGCTTAAAAAAAACCTTATGATTGTTGATGATTGCATCATATTCCACTCACTTCCTAAACCATTAGATACTCATCAAGCCCATTGTTGGTGCTTTCCATGATTGCTCGGCTTCGTCACCAGGATTCGCCGTCATCCGTCCGGGCCTCCTTCTGAAAGAGAAAGATGCGAAAGAAGCCATCCACATCAGTGAAGCGCTCCATGATGGGTTGCATCTGCCAGTGATCAGCAGGACCATGGGACTTGGGTCTGGGGCCATGTGGTGCCCCATTGCCAGGAAGGGAGACGTTTCATGGAACTGTTGAGGGGGAAAATGGGAAGGCAGAAATGCATCCGCAATGCTTTTTTTCCGGGGTGAGTTAGAAAATGCGAAAGGTCACTTATCAAAAATCTGGACAAACCTTTGTCTTTTTCAACACAGCTTCCCACCAGAACCCAAAAGCTTAAAGCTTCGCTGGTTGGTAGCTTCAGGAGGCCCTGAGAACCAGACCAATTTTTTCATCATCTTTCAGATCACATTTTTCAGGTTCCAGCCCAAAGTTAGGCAGTGTATGGCAGTGTACATCCCAAGGGAAACATCCCAAAACCATCCAAAACCAGCATCTTTCTGCCTCTTCCTGGGAGAATGCAGGAGAAACGGTTGGTGTGCTCCTGAGGAAATGCTGAGACTCTATCTGTCACAATTTGTGACCCTGACAGCGCACCGATCTTTCTGTAATCCATCCCTCCAATATGAAATTCAATCTTAGAGCATGGTTAAATGAGAAGATATGAGAAGTTTGTTGATTAGGGGCCCTTGCTGGGGATATCGATGATTACTTTTCAGAAGTGTGTTCCAATTAGTAAGTGGCTAATAACATTAATAACTACTAATAACGATATACCAACTATGGTGATACCCCAGTTCTAGATACATAGGACAACCCAAGTTATGTTGGATTTTGGATTACGTAGGTCACAGTATCCAAGTACATATACCACCCAGGATGCTCCAAGTAGGTAAGGCTTTAAGGTATAGCCACCAGCCACCAATCATTAGCACCATTGGCACCGCACCTGGTCAGTGGAAAGGTCCGCAAGAAGTGATCTGGACGCAGTCGCCCAGCTTTGGCATCCAGGGTGGACCAGTAGGTGTCATCCAAACAGGTGGTCAATTCAATTCCTGCCATCAGATCAGCTGCAGAGGGGTCCAAAAAACCTCCAGAGTTGTGCCAATCCGAAAGATACCTCTTTTTTGCAGCTCCATCAAAGCGGAAGCGGAATTTTAGAACCACATTACCATTTGGTTATTTAACATAGCCATGGAAAATCACCATGCTATTAATAGGTAAAACATCTATTTTAATAGGCCATCTATACCATGGCTATGTTAGTCGTAACCAGAGGCTACCACATTCCATCATGTTTGGACCGTAAGTGGGGCTTGGGCACCCAGCCACGGCAAAAATCGCCTCGTGCTTGGCACAAGACGCGGATCCGCTTCAGGAGTTTCTCGTATAACGCAGGATCACTGGGAGGTTTGGGCTGCCATCCCTTCCATGTGCAAACACCTGGGCTGGTCACGTTGCTCCCCAGGGTCATAGGGCCAACTTCGTTGAAATCTATAGGAAAAAATGGAAAAAATCAGCGCGAACCAAGCTGCTATGGCCAGGTTCTGGCACTGATTGCAGGGGGACCTTTTCCAAGTTGTGCAAGCCAAAGACAGTCTCCACCTGTCAGTGATAAACCGATGTGAACCGTCAGCAATCGCCAGTTACCCTCTGGTACATTGACATTGACCCTGGCAGATAAGGGTTGGAAGACTAGTTTCCACTATAATTTGGTGGTTTTCAGGGTCTATGTTTATTTACCAGAGGGTATCACCTATCTTAACTCATGAGTGACAACCTGGTGGAAGATATTTAGCACCCCCAACTTGAACCGCCACTATTCACTCGTTCAAGTGGCCAAGAGATTAAATGCCATGAGCACGACCCAGTGGGCAACAAACATATACAAAAATATTGGGCGTACCCCTGGCAATCATGTTGATGTCTTAAATGACTCCCCAATGGTTGGCGAACCACATCTGGATTCATCTGGATACATCTGGTACCCTCTGGTAATTTAACATAGCTATTGAAAATCACCATTTTTAATGGGACAATCCACTATAAAATGGTCATTTTCAATAGCTATGTTAGTCATAACCAGAGGGTATGATGAAGGTAGGAACTTCACATTGCCGCCGTTGAGACCTCTTCACAGAAACGTCTCACATCCACTAGACGAGGCTGGCCCTGCAGCCGTGACGAGGCTTCAAAGAAGTCCATGATCACCTGGGATCATCTTTCACTAGAAATGGCAAGTCGAAACATGGCAAGGAAACAGCTAAAAACGTGGCTTGAATTCAATGAATCTCCCTAGATTCCGAGATATCAATGAAGAACCCTGAAGAAACCAAGCTCCATCAACGAAGAAAAACCCTGGAAAACCCTGGAAAATCCAGATATTGCCCAGATTTGTCAGCGAACGCGATGCACTGGTTCTCCATGGTTCCCCTTTTTTTCCTTCGCTCCCAGCCATGCGCCAAGGCCTCAGGATCGATAGGATTCTCAGCATCGTTCAGTGAACGCGGATGCAGCAGACTCGTGAGCCCTCGGAGAAACTGATCGCCTCACGAATCCGTCGAATCGTCGCGACGCGCTGAAGGCAACGTGTGCACATAAGACTGTGTCCAAGAGCACATATGTACGCACACACACATATATATATTATATAATATATATAATACATATATAATATAATATAAATATATATATTATAATATATATATATATATTATATATAATATATATATAATATATAATATATATAATATATATAATATATGTAATATAATATATATATATATATATTATATTATATATATATTATATTATATATATATATGCATATATACATACACACACATATATATATATATGCACACATAAACACGGCCACAAAATGCCATAATTAAATATACTGTATTTTACATGCAACACCCACATCATATAAATACACATGTGTTTAGACACTGCTGACATATTGAATGCACGTCAGTAGTGCATGGAAGAAAATCAAGATTCAAAGAGCTTTGAAGAACTACATGTCTGTATGCTTATCAGCATCATGTGCATTCATCATCTGTTCCGATGCTTGCACATGCAACATCATGCAACCAGGCAAACTGGCAACTCGTGCCGAGGGTCGGGTGCATCTGCCGGAATTCAGCAAGTTGAAATCCCTGAAGAAATCCTCAGGTTTCCATCAATGACAGCCCAGCTGGATGGCTTCAATGGAAAATCCATTCACATATCCAAAAATCACATGGATGATTTACAGGGGGTAACATGATGTTAACCCATTTCAGGAAACCTCCAATGCAACATATGCCTGGAAATGGATGTTACGTCCACACGACACGGGGCCCGGATGGGCCCGGGGCCTGGCCTTGGTACGTCGCTTCCATTGGAACACGAAGAGCTTCACCCGGCGCATGTTCAAACCAACCTGCCACACAGCCACCATCCCAGGCACCCAATGAATAACTGCATAGACTATATACGAACATACATATTTGATCTAACATTGGCTAAAAAAAGGAAAAAAAAAACGTTCTTGTATACGCCTTTAACATCCTTTAACCGTCTACATGCCTACTTGCCTATGCTATCAGGATAGACATGCAGATATGGACATTTTTGTTGATGATCTTGACATATCTTGACATGTCCATATAGGTTTCCATGCCTACCATGGCCTACAAGCCCCCTGACCCAGGTCGCCCAGGTCGCCCAGGTCCCATGTCGTCGCCTCTGCTGCGGTCGGTGCGCGCCGGCAGGGCGCAGTTTGCGGTCGAACCCGACCTTAGGAACCCGGCGACTGATGGTAGAAGAGACTTACCCTCTGGTTATTTGTCACATAGCCATGGAAAGATCCACCATGCTATTAATAGGTAAACCATCTATTTCTATGGGCCATCTTAATATCATGGCGAACTGTTAGTCAGAACCAGAGGGTAAGTATAAATGAATTGACTCTGACCCCATGAATTCATCCTAAACTAACCAATATATCATAGTTATATCATAATTTAATATGCTAAATAAGTATTTTTGTTAAAAAAAACATGATCCATCATCATCCATGACCCATAGGATCCATGGTGCTGGTATATATATGCTAACATTTGGGGATATTTGGGGTATATTGATGGGATCCATGTTACCATATATGGCAGCACCATGGATCCTATGGGTGATGATCACCTCCCTTCCAAAAAATCTCACGCTGAGGCACGGCGGACTCCCTTGCTCCCGGCTGCCTCGATGGGTGGCTTCGGCACCCGTGGCACCTGTGGCGCCGGCGCCACGGCCGGCTCCGCCGGCGTTGGAGGCCGGGTGGCCTCGGATCTGCAGCAGTTGAGGGATGTGGTGTTAGTCAATCATCAATCATTAATTATCATACCACTACCATCAACCACCATTACCATTTATAGTATTACCATTACAACCATCATCATTAACCACTATGAATCATTGATTATTTTTAATACCCTCTGGTAAACGTTTACATAGCTATGGAAAGATCCACCAGTTTCAATGGGTAAATCCACTATTTCTATGGGCCATTTTCAATAGCTATATGTTGAAATTGCCAAGAAGGGTACATCCCGTTGATATCGGAAAAACCTGTTCCAACCAAGGCGCCAGATTTTGATCATTTTGACACATCCATCAGAACGAGATTCTATGAGATTCTGCTATTGATGATGAACAAAGGTGGGAATATTAAGGAATCATCGTTTTTTTTTTGCGATGCTATTCTTCGATAGTTAATTATAAATACATAGGAATGCCAAATGTATCCAAATGTATAATACCAACAAACATGAAGTTGGAACCTCCAACTGATATCTGGGATGAAGTCAACATTGGATTCATAAACTGAAAGCTGTGGGAGTGCAACTGTTTTTTTTCTCACAATAGGGTACAAGGACAACTCGATAAGACTTGGTTGTCCCCAAGTTTTTGGGCATAGCATGCTAATGAGCTTCTGGGCTTTGGCCTTGACCTTTCTTATCCGAGCCCAGCCGGCTTCTTTTTCACTTCCGCGTGACTCAGATCTTGGAGCTTGGCATGGTTTGGCCATGTGCTCCACACTTTCGCTATGGCAGGTTCAGTGGGTCCACGTACTTGCCCAATTCCTTGTTCTTCTCAAATCCTTTGACTTCATCATAGGGTCGAACCAACCAACGCCGGAAGTTCAACTTCTTCTGGGTGCGGTGAATGATTTTGTGCTCCCGGCCCTGGCGCAGCTGGTTGGCTAAGCGCCGAGTCATCAGCTGTTTGGCCTTCTTCAAACGGTTCAAGGTCTTGCGTCCAGGGCGACCCGGCCGGTCCCTGATGGGATACATGTAGGCGCCAAGACGATTCTTCAGAGCCTCGATGCCTTGCAAAGTTGCGGGGCCCCCTGACACCCAAAAAAACAGATATCATGGATTATTCCCATGAGATTCTCATGAGTTCCCCCATTTCTGGATATTTCTGGTGGATTCTGGTGGATTTCCCATTGGGAAAATCAACCATCACGGTAATCACCGACTCAGCAAAGCCAAGATACGGTAGACATGGCGAATCTTCAACTCCTCTCGAATCTTCATGTAGGAGTCGAGGTTTCTAGATGCCAATTTGTCCAACATCCGGCGCCGGGCACACACCAAACTCGTGAGCTTCAAGCGGCACCTGTAGTCCTTGCGGAACTCGCGCATGTGCAAAATCATGTTGCGGATCTTCTCAGTGGCAATGGCAATCTGCACCTCGAGGCAGCCACGATTCTTGCCATCTGGGCCATCACTGGTCCATGTCTTGATGGCATTTTTCTTGGCCAGGTAAAGGACATACTGCTTGGAAGGATAGAGTTCATAGCGAATCTGTCGTGCTGAGGTGTTCTCTGCCTCCTCTTTGGCAAACTGCTTGGCATATTCTTCCAAGTCCTTGGATTTGCGATGCAGGGGGCTATGGATTCCTCAAATGGTAGCTATCCAATGAGAATATTTAACAAAAATATACAAAAATAATCGAAAATAAACATCAGCAGCTCAGCCAATCCAGGAGTCAGTCTCATCAAAGTCCTTGTCCATAAACTGATCCATGTCACTGTTGTCAGCAACTTTGCCTTTGCTTTGCTCAGCTGCCCCGGCTTGTGCTAGCGCTCCCTCTTCGGCCTGCTCCCCCTTCATGCTTTCAAGGCCTCCCAGAATTGAAGCTCTCACAACCGTCCGAGCCTTCTGAGTAGTCCTAGCTCTGGCCCCACTTGCAGCTAGCCCTGCCAGAAGGATTCCACAGGATATTGCAGGCCACTGGGGAGCCACGGCCCTAGAGCCTTCAGATCTTTCAGCGCCCCGAAGTTTCACCCCTTCAAAGCTGGGCGCTAGGTCTGGTACTCTGTGAAGGGAGCCGCTGAGAATGAAGCCCCTGCCGTGAATCCCAAAGGGAGGAATGGTAGGATGGGTTTGTAAGATCTACTACCCTCTGGTAAACTAACATAGCTATGGAAAATCACAATTTTTAATGGGTAAATCAACTATAAATGGCCATTTCCAATAGCTACGTTAAATTACCAGAGGGTACTAATCCTACCAATACCAATCAATAAACGATCAACTTGACAGGTCTGGCCCATCTGGTTGGATTTGAGAGTTCGAGAACTTGAAGATTGGAACCTAACTATAGATTTCTATAGATTACCATACTATAGATGCTCACAGCATTCTTGAGAGGTTCTGGACCCTGCCTAGGAGAACACACCAAGATGATGCCCAGCAGGCTCAGGAGGATCTTCGGGAAGGACATTTCACCGATGGGGATCCCTCTGGATCCCACCGTTGCCACTGACTGCAGTTCGTTCGGCACCGAAAAATGACACAACGCGACCGGTGCGAAAAGATATTTGACTGCGGCTTGCGCAGCCTTTGAGCCAAGCAGAAAAAAACAAAAATATGGGTTATATATCCTAGTGCATCCAGCGGACATCAACAGCCAAGTGAAGATATGTGAACATCCCTGCAGTCAAGCGTCTCTTTTTGTTTCTTTCAATGATTTTGGGAAAGTTTGGGGTGCAATCTTCCTGGACAGATCATCGAGTAGCAGTAGCATCATCCCATTCATTGGTGTAGAATTCAGCTGAAAAAACAATATCCTCTATTAATCAACCATGGCAATGGGAAATCCATGGAAATCCACCATCTACTTTGATGATTTTCCCCATAGAGCTCCAAATTTAGTGGGATTTTCCAGTCACGTTGAGGCCAGGGCTGAACCATGTTGAACCCACCAGCTGCTGTTCATTTCCAAGTCGCCTGATCCTCCGCAGCTTCTCCTTTCGATGGCATGGCGACTGACACTGGGGACCTCGGTCACAGCAGGACCGCCGCCCACTAGCCCACTAGGACCAGGCAAGATGTCAACAGCTGAATTGGGGTCAATGCCCAAAATAGGGTTTCACACAACAAAATATGGGGTTGCATATATATATATATAATATATATCAAATAAACAATGAAAAATCATGGGATATGAGTCAGGAATGATTTGTTTGGTGGTTTCAATCCACCAAAAAATATGATGGTGATTGATGGTGTCAATTCGGATCATCCCAAGATACCGAGGGGAGGGGAACAACATGCAAAACACTTCCAAGCATCCCTATATACAGTATCCCTATGTTTGGATGCATGAAACTTCTGCATATTCTCCATGGAAAATGGATGAAAATGGCCCATTTATAGATGGTTTACCTGGGTTTACCTATTGAAAATGGTGATTTGCCATGGCTATGTTAAATAACCAGATGGTATATGGACAACATTGGAAAACTCTCAACAGAACCCCATCCTTCCACTAATCTCAACTTGCCTCGGTGCATCTTTCTGCTTCCAAGCCGCAGCTGGCCTGATGTTGGCGTGGCATCAGTGGCATCTGCGGCCGGATCTACGTCTTGTAAATCCTCGCCCAGGAAGCTCAAAACTTGGCTGCTGGGGACTTCCACAATTTCCGCCACATCCTCCGGCGCCATGCCACGTAGCAACATGCCTCGGTGACGAACAAATGCTGGAAACACATGGGAACCTCCATTTGTTATTGGTTTCCCTTGTGCCACAACGGACAAAAATCATGCGACTCTAGGCCCTCTATGGCCTACGATGTCCAGTTGGTCCAGGGAGGGAAGATTATCACAGGGCCCTGGAGTCGAAGCACGTTCAATGAGTCGAGCTTTGCCATCGTCGATGACCTGCCGAAGCGGCAAACGATGAACTGTTCATGCCTTTAACAGCTCACGGCCAACCTAGACAAAACGCGAAACAAAGAAGTTGATTACAGTTGATTCCTAGCTTATTTCTACAGACTTCTATATCATTGTATATCGATCATGATGTATCATTGCATATATCGTTGCATCTATTATTACATAACTATTGTAAATAACATGACCATGGCCATATCATGATATCATGATATCAGTATATATATATACACATTGTTTATTTAATTACTATGAATATATGTTCCTCAATTCAATGATCACCAAACATCCCTCCAGTGGCCCGCCTCACTCGTTGGCGTCTCCGCAGTCGCCATGGCCATCACCGAGGGGCACCGCCTTTGAGTCCAATGGCGGCCGTCATCGTACAGACCTGTCGGGGATCCTGAAACGGAGCTTTCTTGAGTCGGGGATCCCTATGAGATCCCCAGTCGTCACCATCTGGTTGGTGGTTGAGCCCTACCCCTCTGAAAAATCATGGAGTGAAAGTCAGTTGGGATTATGACATTCCTAAGATATGGAAAAACAATAGCCATGTTCCAAACCACCAACCAGCCATGGTTGTTTCAATAAGTCATGGTTTGGGATGTGGGGGACCCCCATGACAAAACGGACACCTCCAAAGAAATCTCCTGAAGACCCACCTGGATGGCGTTTCGTCTTTGGCCTGGGCGGAACAGGCCAAAGACGGGCACTGTCCATCTTTGTTCTGATGGAACGTGATCAAGCGACATCAAACAACTGGCATATAGAGATAATTAAATAGATAGATAGATAGATAGATAAATAAATATATATATATATATACTATATACAAAGTTTGGCCAGAACCGACCCCAACAAAATGGATCAAACGAGATCAAACGCCACAGTAACTAAACACCATACGAGGAATGATCTCTCGACATGTCATGGATGGGTTAAATCGTGTCCCTGCACTGAAAACTCATATTTGGAATGATTTGGCTATGTATAATAACTCATTTCTGGAGCAACCCATTTCCATCATTCATTCGTCTAAATCTGTATTTATTTTTGAAGCTTAACTCAGCATTTTGGCTCGCGTAAACCTCCACCAACAAAGCTTCCACTCGCCAAGCACTGGATGAATCGCTGGGCTTAGCGGCTCCAAAGGAAGGGGAGGTCGGCTGAGCCTGAAACCGTATTTGGGTGTGAGATTGCAATGGGCTAGAACCCTTTAGCAACCCAATTCATAACCATGAAGGAAACCAGGCGTTTAGTGGTCTTTACCCAGCAATAAACCTGCAACATCCTAGTGGAGATTTCTGGTGCAACTCGGGGTTTATTTATGTGGTAAACCGGTAAACCCAGTAAAAAACCATCCCCAACAGGGGTTCATAACTGGGGGTGAAAAACCCCTAGCAATCCGATGATGTAAAAATATGTAAAATGGTTCCCAAGAGGTGGGCTAATATGCTAATGGGATGGTTTCCTATTAGGCTTCCCACATTATAGAGAAGTATAACTGTTGGGTTTATGATAAATATTGGGCATGGTCAGGTTTAAATTGACCATGATCATATAAGATCATATAAGTATAATGTAGTATAATGTAGTACAGCAATAGTCAACCATCCCCAATTTTACCATGAATGGGTGTTGTAAACTGCCCAAATATGGCTGGTCTATTGTTGCTTTACTAACTTTATATTGGGTTTCCCACATCATTCATATCATTCATCCCTTTCCCAGGCTGCATTGAGGTGCCTCTGCCACTGCAGGCCCTGAAACGCTGCTGCGCACGCTGCGTCCGCTACGCCCTGAGAAGCTTCAGTCATCTTCGGTATCGAAATGGTTCATGTCCAATTCTTTCAAAGGAAATGCATTTACAATCTGCAAAAGGCTATATATTCAGCCAATTCATGGCAATTTTCCATAATTAATCCCGTCGGCTTCTTGGGGGTTCTGGGGAAACCAAGTGCTTGAATCCCATAGTAGTTGTTCCAATTTTTCCATTTTGTGCTCTTCAGGTATAACCCCAACTAATTCTTTGGACGTGTGGGACCCAATTATTTTTGCAAACTTATCCATTTCAACTTCACCCAGGACAGGATCCCTGTTCAATTTTCCAACCCATGGAATGGACGTTGCCAAAACAAAAATTGAGTGCTCGGCCGCTCCGTCCAGTGTTGGGCCCACTTCCGTCGCCCAGGGGCTCCTGCCGCCAAAATGCGGTCTGCTAATGGGTGGTTTTAAGCAACGTCACGCATATCAAATAATCAATAACTTATATAAGACAAAATATAGTTTAAATGGGACCGACAAATAAAATATCAAACACAATTATATATATATACTATATCATAAATTAAAGATTATGCATTATATATCATTATACATGTGTGTCGAATGATTCATTCCATGAAAGGTTTATATATAATTATATCTGGTTTCGCACCACCAGCCAGTTTCCGAACCCTCTGAGCTTCCAACAATTGGCATGCCGAAGACTGGCAGAACTGCTCCACCCTTAGTGTGGACGGTGTTTTTTTCCATTGGTCCACCGGGGTCGTGGTCCGTCCCTGGGGCATCCGCCATGGAAAGGTCATCAGGACCTCAGGTTTCAAGCTGCGGTGTGTTCGTTGCTTGTGCAATGGGGCCCTTTCCATTCTATGGGTCCAACTTGACGATATTTCATTTTTTACTGTACTTTTAAGAATCACCTTTAAAACATATCTATATCATTCTATATCATCCCATTGTTAGGCTGGAAAAACCCTCGCCCTCGCCCACTTTTCACTCAAATTCTGCATGTGTTGCGAGTCAGGGATGGCTCTTTGCCATTCGCGGGCAGCTACACTCAGCGTTGCTGACTCTGTTGCTGCTGCTGCTGAGCATACTCCTGTTCAAGACAAGCCGAGGGTGGTGATGGGACAGAATGAACATCGTGCAACCATCATGTACGGGAATCCCGAAAACCAACAACTTGTTTGGTGATCTTGGGTATCGGCAAAATGTAATGACCGACCCGAGCCATGGGATAGGCCTTTCATGCATTTTCATGCCATGTTTCCACCTTCAGATTTCCAAAGTCAGCTCAACTATTCCAAGTGTGTCCATCCCCCAGTCGCAAGCAGAAACAGCAACCTGAGGATAGCTGGGGGTACCTGGATTGGGGCCATGGCCTGGAACTCCTTTTCCATCTGCTCGATCTGCTCCAAGGTAGCTGACCTCAGTTTCTCCCCATTCAACCCCCAGAAACCGTGGTTTAGTGGGGGATTTGCAGCCGGTGTTTACGGCGATGGGATCAGTTTGATCCATTGCACAACTCGATCCAGCTTCAAATATCAGAATCATCAGAACATGAAAGTACCCTCTGGATCCCTCTGGTTATTTAACATAGCCGTGGAAAATGGCCCATTTATAGATGATTTTCCCATTAAAACCTTCATTTATAAGGGATTTTCCATGGCTATGTTAAATAACCAGATGGTATCAGAAACCTTGCAGATTTGGGAAATAAGTGATGCCATTTGATGTCACATCTCAGCCTCAATTCTCAATCTTCTCAGCCGGGTTTCTTGATCGGCATGATCTTCGGCTTGCACAGCACCTCCGAAAGGTTGCCCTTCCTCAGCGACAGAGAGTCGGAGGCTGCAACCAACAGCGAGGCTCGATGCTTGACAATTTCTGGGATTGCCAAGTGATACCAATCATAGATAATCATAGTCCACCAACCTGAACTTTCTGGCCATTTGTGGATGATTCTCCCACTCCTAACCATCATTTTCAGGGACATGTTCAAAACCGAACCATCGTTTCCGACTCCTGTGGCACTTTTTGGTGATACACTGCCAGCACCATCAGTGCCGCGACCAAGGGGCTCTGAGTAGACCAGCCCGGCTTTAGGCCTCGGCGACCCAAGTCAATCTTATGTCATATTTCATTCAATCCATCAATACACACACGCAAAGATATAGATATCAGGATATCTATCTATCTGTTTAGCCATCCATCCATCCAGCCATGCATCCCAACTACCATTAATTACACATCTTTCCATCTATACATCCATCGAGCTATCCAGCTATCCATCAGTCTATCTATATATCTACATATATATATATAGAGATAAAGGGCGAGAGAGCGAGCGAGAGAGAGAGAGCGAAAGAGAAAAAAAAGAAAGAAAGAAAGAAAGAGAGAAAGAAAGAAAGAAAGAAAGAAAAGAAAGAAAGAAAGAAAGAGAGAAACAAGCCGAAAGAATATACAGTCTCCAATTTTGTTTCCCAATGAATCCCAAAATTGGGTCTACGATGATCATCCATGATCCATATAGCGACAAGTCGCAGAATCTCAGGAATGACCGTGTGCTTGGCCGCGTCGTCCATCACACCCGCCCGTGGCGTGCGCGGCGCCAGCGCGTTGACGAGCCGTTTCTTTGTTTTTCTTGCTGCGGAGCCAAGCGATTGCAGTGGCCCAGTCACCCAAGGTATTGTGATCTTTTCCCACCCTACCAATTACCCTCTGGTAAACTAACATAACTATGGAAAATCACCATTTTTAATGGGTAAATCCACTATAAATGGCCATTTTCAATAGCTATGTTAAATTACCAGAGGGTAAAAGAACAAACACATAGACCTGGCCATAGTCTTAAAAACTGACAACTTATGGTCCTACATGATCCTACTGATGGACACGAACACTGAGGTTCCAACGGAAGCCACTGTCAGCCTTGTGCCATGGCTCTGGGGGGACGGAAATCACCAACATGATCCAACAACTACACCATGTTGAATCGGTAGCTCTCACAACCAGTTGAACCCACTACGTATTCAAATACAAGACGTTGAGGTGAAGCAAAGCTACATGGCCAAACCCGGTGCACCTGCTTCCCCATAGCTCGCATGCTGGAGAGCGCCTTTGCAATTATCATCCCAGCTCAAGGATCAAGAACAGGAATCAGCAACATTATCATCAGGTTCCTCACAGAAATAGATACTATCTGTAATTAAATATCATCCCCGGCACGTACTGTACCTCTGAGTCCTGCCTTTGCCTCAAATCAGCTCATTTTTTTGAGACTTTCATTATGGACTACCATTTTTTGGTATGGCATTGTGGCATTATGGCATGTTCACTTGGGAAATCACTAAAACACATGGGAAATCTGGGGAAAATTCCGCGGCTTTGCGGCCTCAGCCGCCGCAGCACCGCTGCCTCCAATGGCTCCCACCTGAGAGCTGCCGAGATTCCCCATCCTGCCTGGATACAAGATGATACAATGGTACCGCAATAGATACATTATTAGATTTTATACAATATATTGTACAATATGAATGGGGTAGAAAATATCATATTGAAGAAATATATTGAATATGCATGATATTTTAGATTATACAATATATAGTACAATATGAATGGGGTATCATTGATATCATATTTGAATATATTTGATACATCATGATATTGTACCCCATCCATTATAGATATTGTTCCATTGAAAATGTAATATGATACAATATGCTACAAGATCACGATGATATATGATGATCCATCCATTGATGGATAGGTTTCAGAGATGTTTTCAGAGATGCACATTTTTCTGAGATCAAATGAGTAGATTAAATGATAGCTACTACGGTGGATGGAAGAAATCCTGCACCACCTTGGATGGTTGAAACCCTATAAACAATGGGATAAACCATCTATCAACTGGTGCAGGATTTCTTCCATCCACAGTAGTAGTGATAATGAATGATCATGATAGACACCTGATCCCCATCATTCCCCATCTTTTGGCTTCCAGAACTGTGCGACTTCGCTGCAGGGATCTTTGTGGCTTGGTCCTGCTGGATGGTCAAGTTTCAGGCCTCTCTGTTGGATGGTAATGCCATACAATACCCTAACAATTCATGAATATTTACATGGGCTTGGCGTATTGTTGGCGTTAAATACTCATAAACTATGACTTAAAGTATTAGCGCCAGGTTTTTCAATCTCTAAAATGTCAGTTGAACGCGCGAAGTCTCGGTGATCAGTACTTCCCCTGCTTCGCCCCCTTCCAAAAACCGCTCCCTGTGCCAGCCAGGTCTTCCATAGACCGTGCCAATTCCTGCGGGACGTTTTTGGCATCTCCCGATCTTTGCAGCTACGACGGCTACGAAATTCTCGGGCGGTTGTGAGACATGGTTTCCATGGTTTTCAATCAAATAGTTGAAATAGCTGTGTCTGGAAATAGGTTTACCCCCCATTTGTTGCCCTTCCATGGTGAAAATATTGTGATAACCCCTTGGTATTAGGGGTTCACTGTAGACTACCCTCTGGTTAGTTAACATAGCCATGGTATAGATGGCCCATTTATAGAGATGGTTTACCTATTAAAAATGGTGGATCTTTCCATGGCTATATTAGTCATAACCAGAGGGTATGTTCAATATTTTCAATGAAACCCGGATTCCTCGATTCCTCAAATAGCAGCGGAACTCACAGCTTCAACCACTCAACTTGAGGCCGGGGGTGGATGACGAAAGCTAGCGGGGTAGGAGAAAGAAGGAAGGGAAGAGGTGAGTTGCGGAGGGACTGTCATCATCGTGTCGCGGCATTGTTCGTCCCAACGAGGATGCAACAATGATATATTGATATATGATATATAACAATGATATATATGGGGGAGGGGGCAGGGGGGGGCCCTTTCGCGGGAAAAATCACGTGATGTCCTTGGGGAGCCCCGGAATACGTGCTAAAGCAAGAAGACTCTAGCGAGCTGACGCTAGCTTTCGTGATAATGACAATAATTGCCAATAATGATGAAATGTAATTGAATAACGATGATGATGATGATGATGATGATGATGATGATGATGATGATGATGAATGACGAATGATGATGATGAACGAATAATGAATGATGAATGATGAATGATGATGATGATGATGATGATGATGATGATGATGATGATGATGATGATGATGATGATGATGATGATGACGATGATGATGATGATGATGATGATGATGATGATGATGAGATGATGAATGATGATGATGATGATGATGATGATGATGATGATGATGATGACGATGATGATGATGATGATGATGATGATGACGAGGACGCGGACGAGGACGAGGACGATGGAGAGGACGATGACGATGATGATGACGATGATGATGACGATGATGATGACGATGATGATGACGATGATGATGATGATGATGGTGGTGATGGTGGTGGTGGTGGGGGAGGGGGGGGGCCCCCTTTCGCGTGAAAAATCACGTGATGTCCTTGAGCAGCCCCCCCAATACTTGCTAAAGCAAGAAGACTCCAGCTAGCTGACGCTAGCTTTTGTGAAAAGCTGCAGGTCCAAATCCTCCAATGCACCCTGAGAGTCGCTACCGCCTCAGGGAAAAAACAAACGTCCCGTTTGTTGTCTCATCTTTTAATGTGACTATATACGTGGGTTTATGATATTTCATCATATGTCATCATATTTCATCATATTTCATTGTGTTATATTGTATTTCATCATTTCACCCTTGATGTTTTTGACATATTTTTGAATCTCGACATATCCCCAAATATCCACAGGTGCCAGGGCGAATTACCACCTGGGCTGCTGACGCTTCTGGCCCTGCTGAAGGATCTGTTCCTAAGCCCAGTGGCCATCGGTTCTCATCGTTTCTGGGACGTGGGGGGTCACTCAAATTATAGCATGTTGCTGTTTGGCTTCAACATTGTCTTTACCCTCTGGTCATTTGACATAGCAATGGACAATGGTCCATTTATAGATGGTTCATGATGATTTACCTATTGAACATGGTGATTTTCCATAGCTATGATTGAACCACCAAAGGCTATATATACCTGGCAAGACTTTTTCTGGGACTTGCCATGAGTGACTCCCTATAGCCTTTAGCACGTGATAGGGGGTAGGCACCAACCCATACCCCACTTTCTGTGTCAACTAACCTTGGCCGGTCAGCACCCGCACCGTCGCAAGGTGTGATGCAACTGGGCACCCCAAACACATCTGTCGCGGGCAGCCTGCAGGCCAATGACCAACAGCCCAGGGGTCAACACCCGTCCAGCATGGCGCTATTATCCTTATCACACACACAATATATAACTATACATTATAATTATATATATATATATACAAGTCCGATCTTATTAAACTTCTGACCATGATCATGATCACCATTCTTATGGTCGCTCTAATTAGTAAGCCATGTTCGTATTGGTTCATGATTCACCCCAAGTATCACAGTCCCAGTGTTCTCCCCAGTCCCAGTCCCACCATCCACTCACCGGACCCTTGGGTCCCTCGGGTCGCGTTGCACCTGCCGTAGCTGCTCGGAGAGTTTCAACTTCTCCTGGAGCTCGTGCTTTTGCTCGGCCAATTTCCTGGGCGTAGCGGAGCGAGGTGGTTTTATTGCCCGAATCTGTAGAAAAGACGGAGAAAGATGGGAAAAACAAAAACTGATGGATGGAGATGATGCAAAATGAACATATGAAATGTTCGAAAGGTATTGTCATACCCTCTGGTAAATTAACATAAACCCTGGAAAATAGGCTAGTTTAAATGGAAACTAATCTTCCAACCCCTATGACTGCCAGGGTCTATGTTGATTTACCAGAGGGTAATTACATGTAATTGCTGTAGCTGTGGCATCCTGTGGCATCTTGGGAAACTCAAGGCGTTCTTCCTTAGCTTCCCAGTTACGGTAGTAGCTAATATGAGGTCATGTAATGTGGATACCATATCTCCGAACTGCTCCCTCCTAGCGGTTGGGCAGTCAGGTCGGTCAGGTCCAAGACATCAAAAAAGCTGAGGCGAGCACTCCCTTTTGCGATTCGCACCTCAAGGCTTTGGTTATCACAATGGTCTCACGGCCAACCAAATTCTTGTCAAATGTGTTGTGCCTTGGATAAAAACAAAAATTGGAACTTGATGTTGACGGGGATGTTCCAGTGATATTGAGGCTTGCGCGCGATCGCTCTGCTCGCAGTTCTGCAACCTCTGCCTGTTGAAAAGGGGTTTGCAACAAAGTGGGCTGTTTATTACGATTACAGTATGAACACACTTGAAACACACACACACAATATATATATATATATATTATATTTTTATATCATAAATTAACTATGATTATTACCATTCTTTCCTATGATTACTATCCACCATTTCCCGGGCGGCCCTGATGCTATGATTACGCCATTGAATGCCCAAGAAATGCAAAGCATGAAGTGCCTGAACTGTTTGCAGCTAGAAGGCTGTTCGGCTGATTCATTTTTGGGTCCCATTAGTTCGCTGGGTGTCTATTATATTCTATTACCAGGCGGAAGGGATTATAATCGAGTATGATGTTATAAGTTATACGTGTTTATCTGAAATAGGGCACCCCATGAATGGTACCTCAATTCCAATGGATTCTCGTCATCCATACCAGAAGGGCCATTTGGGAGGTATACCCCATCTTCAGACCCATCACAGCCTGGGAAAAGGTCCCAACATGAACGTGACTTAATGATACTTCATGCGGCTACGAGTCCTCCAACTGCGCACAGCGCTTGTAGGCTTCTTCATAGCCTCAGCGTCACCGTGACTGATTGGCGGTTCTTCAACTCTGAAGAAATATATTTCGTCATTGATCATCATACCAATTCTACGCTTGAAATTCATTCCCTATCCCAATTCTATTGACATTCTCCATTCTCATCCCAAAAACGGTTTTTCAAACACCAGGTGACGAACTGCGAGTGAAACGTCCACTGGGGACCATCCCAGTTTGGAAGTATATCCAAGTGTAGCCAAGAAAGGCAACTTTAACCAAGTATAATTAGCCAAGTATAGGCAACTTTTTGGCTATCTACTTCAATTTGGATCGAATCTCCGGCATGAATCTCCGGATTCCCAGGGTTCAGGCGTTCACGCTCCGCGCGTAGCTCCATATTCTGCGCCTGATGCAACTCGTCATCGATTAAGGGCCAACTGAGCATCCAGCTATAATCTGGCACCCTACACTGGTGAACACTGGCACCCTACAATGTCCTACATCAGCAATCATCTAGTGCTGGTGAACATGTAGGAAAACCATGGAAAAGCAAACGCACATTAGCTTTTGGATGGCCAAGTGGTTGAGATTGAACACCATCAAATGGGGGGGTTGGGGGCACCCGGAAAATTGCAATTTCAGATGCCAAGGAGCATGATAGACAAATATAGACACTATGTTCAAGCAAACTCATCTAGCTTGCTGGCTGATGTAGCTGCCAATAGCATCAAAACTGCACCCATCCTCCAGCTGCGAGCAACGATCATACAGCTCGTCATACTCCTGTGCGCGGAGGCACCTCTAAGTCCAAGTGCACCAAGGGAATCATAAGTCGGAATTCTTTTCCCCCATGATTTGCAAGACATTTTTGTTGAGTGATTTTATGACACTGTTCAATTCTCATAGCTGGTTGGTGGTATACCTACCCCTCTGAAAAATATGAAAGTCAATTGGGATCATATTATTCCCAGTATATGGAAAAAATATAAAAAAAATGTTCCAAACCACCAACCAGATAGATTCTCCATTCAATGGATTGGTTTAAGGGAAAATTTACAGGAAAGCCCCATACTTAATGGGAAAATCTATGGTTTCCTGTAAATTTTCCCTTAAACCAATCCATTGATCCATGGTTTTTCCTGCACGACATCCTTCCTGACTTCGCCAGGCTGGGGCCCCTGGGGCAACCGACCATTCCCGCGACGTTCCCTAAGAGCTCTGCAGCTTCATCGGCAAGTTGACCCTCCTCAGCGGCATCCAACATCCAAGCAGTCTATGATTGGGACCTATGACCTATACCCTCTGGTGAACTAACATTTTCCAATGGAAAATGGCCATAGAAATAGTGGATTTTCCCATTAAGAATGGTGATTTTCCATTGCTATGTTAGTTCACCAGAGGGTATGTCTATTGTTGATTATATATGTTTGTATATCACAAACAAAAAAAATGGTGACATATCAAATAGACATGAACTGCCCATGAAATAAATGTGAAATGGATTGGTTTAGGGGAAAATTTACAGGAAAACCCCATATTTAATGGTAAAAACATGTAAAAACCATGGTTTCCTGTAAATTTTCCCTTAAACCAATCCATTGAAATGTGAAATACGTAGAATATGGTATCAAACTCAAAAATCGACGTTTTTCGTCGTGACACTTCCCTGAAAACCGCCAGCATCACCGTAGGCCGTAGCCGTCACCCTGCCTCCACCAGCTGCGAAAGGTCCGCCAACACAGCGCGCCTCAGTCAACATATGTGATAGACAATGCATATAGTAGTAATGTATATATTGTGGCTCAGGTGTAACGCAAACACACACACATATCAGTTATGTAGTTATAATATATAATAATATATATATAATAATATAGTTATATATATATAGTTATATAATATATATATAATAGTCTTGTGATATCAGTATTTTTTGGCGTTATTTCTGAACAATGCGACTATTTGCCGCCACCCCAACTCCTCCTTTTCGCAGCCCCTGGCGACCCCCGGCGCTCGCAAGAGCTCCTCATCTTTTCGTCGGATCACCTGAAAAAAGCCCTCCAGATCTGGTAATTTTATTGTTGGGGCTATAAAAAATATGGGATTTATAGCCAACAAATCTGGATTTATAGCTGGATTTCATATCTGGTTTATCTGTAATATATGGGTTTATATCTGGATTTATAGCCAACAAATCCATAAAAAACCATACCCTCTGGTGAACTAACATAGCAATGGAAAATCACCATTCTTAATGGGAAAATCCACTATAAATGGCCATTTTCCATTGCTATGTTAGTTCACCAGAGGGTAAATCACGACATGGGAAGGCCTCAATTTCACTGTTGGCCATAAAAAAAATCCAGTTTGGGGGTTGAGCCATTCACCAGAAATCTGGCAGAAACTTGGCTACTTCCTGGGCCCAAGTGGCGTAGAAGAGTTCCTCCTCGTGCTTCCGCGCCTCGACACCATCTTCCGCACGGTTTTACATGGGGATGGGTCAAAAGCTAGTATTACCCATATATTTTGGGAAATCAACATCTACTTACCCCTCTGGTACTAACAGTTCACTATTGAACATGGCCCAGTCGAAATAGTTGATTTACCCAGCTAGAAAATAGGGATTTTCCATGATTTTCCATAGTTTTGTTGCATGTTTACCAGAGGGTAACATCTAACCAGCGATGAAAACCAGGGATTACCCTCTGGTGAACTAACATAGCAATGGAACATCACCATTCTTAATGGGAAAATCCACTATTTCTATAGCCATTTTCCATTGCTATGTTAGTTCACCAGAGGGTAACCAGGGTACCATCCTAGGGTCCGGGTCCGGTCGGGTGTTGCGTGAGAATCCCAACCACATCCCGCTCGTCGCAAATGATGGCGGTCTGTTCCTGCAGGTCCTGGAGCGGGTCCATCCCATAAACCATATCCCAGTTTGAGAGAATATAATACGAATAGATAAATCTACTGTACATTATATATATAAATATATGTATAATATATATATAATTATACATATAAATTATATCTATGATAGTTTTTAAATTTACCCTGATCATCCCTGATCCAACCCATGAAGATCCACACACGTTTATCATAAACGCATGTATGTAATTCAATTTAAATTACATCCAACAATCGATCGATCTATATATCTATATATCTCCAGGGACCATTTCGAACTGGTCCTCCAGATTGGCGGAAACTCTTTCGCACTCTTGGCGATGGCTTAAACCTCAGCTGAGGAACGTCAAGGAAGGACCCCAATAGATCCACCAATAAATATTGTCCTTTTAGGAGAAATAGAGGGGCCGGTCTGGTAAATCATTGTGAACGTCTACCCGTTGAGTCCTGTTGATCCTATTGATTGTTGAATGGAGGTAAACTTCTATTAACCAAACAAACAGTGGGAATTTGGGGTAAATCTATGGTCACAAGTTGTCAATGTTGGCAGGGGAAACATCACCTTGGGGCAATTCCAGACCCAACGGCATCCGGCAACCAGCCACGATCATGGTCGAGGCTGTTGCTTCGCATCTTTTTGTTCCCAACTTCTAAGCATCGCTGGCGCGCCGGCGCTTGCGTTTGAAACAAGCCAGGAATTGCAGATTTTCATCCTACACGGCTATTGCGTGTCACAGATCTGATGTCTCCACCACTCAAAGCTTGCTGACCAAGGGTGCATCCTGGTTGAGCTGCATGACAATCAGGATCCAAGACCCTCACGTTGGACTCTCTGTACCCCCAAATCCCAGTTTTCTATTGTTAACAAATTGTCACATTTCATCTTCTCTCTCTCTCTCTCTATCGGACGTGACGTAACATATCGTAAGTCAGGTTTTCCGGACACTTTCTTCAGCCGGACTCCTGGCTCATCAGGCTCAAGACCATGCAGCCCCTCAGCAGCAGGGCCTTGGGACCTCAAGCGCAGGCCAGGGAGGATGGATGATGGATGTGTTTCAATAGGATGATGGATGGTCATTTCGGACTATTGCTGCTCTCCCAAAAAAAATCACCCATCCCCATTGAGATCCATTCTTTGTGGAAACCAGTGAGATCTTTTAGATCTTCTGGCAGGATTTGTTTTTTTTTTCTTTTTCCGTTTGCTGACTTTAATTACTGAGAATGGGTCAAAACCCAAGTGCCATGTCTATGGAGATGAGCATCCATTCACCAGCTATGTGCTACAGTGTTTTGACCCCCAAACCACGACATTTGACCCCCAGCTCGGAACGCGAAACCGACAAGGCACGGTCTTCCCTTCCTCCTTGAACTTCAAAGGCGACCAGTAACGTGCCATCCTGATCCACGACAGCACTGGATGGTCAGAACATGTCCATGTCAAACAAAACAACGGGTGGCTTAACCGGCTTTACCATCCCAATTGTCGGAAAATAGGGAATCAACATGAATCAATCATTTCTCTGGCTTTTCACTGGATTTGTTCAAGGTAAAATCTCAGCCAGAAACCATGGCTTCCACCATCAAATATATCAAATCAAATGTAGTTCTATTCCCTCCCAATTCTTTCCTCAACCAATTCTCGGAAACAAAAACAACGGAGAAATCTGATGAGCAGTTTTAAAAAAGCCTTGGCCTGGAGTCTGGATGATACACTTCTCAGTTTCAAAGAACCCTTCCCCCTTTGACAAAGACCTGCGCGGTTTGGGACACCAGGGTTCCAAACCAGCAGCAGTTCATCCAGGGTTTTTGGGTTTCAACATGTTTCAACATGTTTCAACATGTTTCAACCCATTCAAGAACAACACTTCGTCAATTGGGATCCCACGCCGTTTTGTTTACTCATTTTGTGCCAACGGGTTATGATTTTCTATCAGATTTCATTCAGAATTCTTCACGAATCCAACGAACATCCACATCTTCCGGGCATTTCCGGGCCTTGGAAGCCTCCTCCGGAATCCAGGATCTTACGTGGATGTTATCCTCGGTTGTCCCCACTGCAGCCTTTCAAAAAGTGGGAGGCAGTCCCAACCGACGTTTTGGCTGGTGAAAATGGATGATTGCTTACCCCAGCAATACGTGAACTATGAACTAATCATATTCGAATTACAGTTTCCATGTCCCTGATTCAATTTAATCACATCTAATCCAGTCCAATCTACACAAAACCATATAATGCCCATACACATCCATACACGGAGATTGGAGATAGAAATGTAACATGGACGCCAAGGGACACCAGCACCAACGAAGCCCAAGTAGGAGACGAAAGCTTGCGATGCTCTGGCGTGAAGGATTCGGTCTTTCAGCCTGGGATCGATGGGGTCCGCCATGGCAGCTTCAGAAGATTTTATCGAGTTCAATCACCATTAAAACCCATAGGATCCATGGTGCTATATATGGTAACATGGATCCCATCAATATACCCCCAATGTTAGCATATATACCATACATGGATCCTATGGGAAATAGAAGATTGGCATAGAACCAACTTCACAAACATGAACAACATGAACAACGGCTTGGAAGTTCATGTTCCCACAAGAAAAGATGGATCTGTTCACTTCCCATCTTGGGAGTTTCTGCTCCCGCAGCACCAAGAGGCTCAGGTGGGTAGCCATTGCTCTTGGCAGCCCAGAAACGCCAGCCTGAGGATTGAACAGCCTGAGGATTGAACACGCTTGGTGGTTAAAAAGGATGGTTACTGTTAGCAATGTCATAAACCACCTTGATAAATTTATAGTTTCAATCCCACCCATATATAAGCCATTGGGGATGGTGGATCCTGTTGCGTATTACTACCACTACTGTCGAATTGTGTGAAAATTATCGCGTTGTACCAGTTTCTGAAGGAAAGGAACCCAACACATGGCCATACCCTCCAATTCCGAAATCATCTTCCATACAAATTTCTTGGGGTTTCATGCTAAATTTAGGTGGCTGAAGTTCTCTCCTGTCCAACCTTTCCAATGCTGCTCAGTCACGGTCCATATGCGCCAAGCAAGCTGCCTGGCGCAGCTTATCCCATTTCCAAGGATGGATAAAACCATGATATTTAAACCAGAAACCACTTGGGTATGTCTGAAAATGGGGTATACCCCAATTATAGCCATTTAGTAGGGATAATGATCATTAACCATTGGGTGTAGGGGTACACTATTTTCAGACAAACCCACTTAGTGCCAATCAATATATTCTCAGTTGGACCAGTTAGGTCTCCCATTTTTTGGCTCATGCATTCTCCGCAGTTATCAACTACGATTAACCCCCATTGGATTCTATTATATAGATGCTTATTAAGCCAATGTTGTTGGGGGGTACCTTTTCGGGAATGGCACCCTTAGACCTTTCATATTTATTCTATCAATATTCTATCAAAATTCTATCACCATTAATAATTCTTCTCCGATAATATTCCATGTTATGGCGAGTACACATTAATATAACGCCATTTGTCATTGCTGAAATGCCGCGTTTTGATACTCCAATCCCCAAATTGTCCAGAAAAAATCAGACATGATTAATGGTTTAACCATGGTTTAACCATGTAAAACCCATCAAACGAAAGGCATCTAACTTGCCAAATCCCAGCCTCATGGAGCCTTCCATCCATATCCAAATCCACCGCCGCCACGTAGCTGTGGTGATGCCAGCAGTTGCTGGGTACCGTGCCGATCCGCTCCTCATGCTGCGATTAAACATAGCCATGGAAAATCACCATGTTTAATAGGTAAACCATCTATTTCTATGAGCCATCATTTTCCATGGCTATGTTAGTCATAACCAGAGGGTATGGAAAAGAAATCAACGAGTCTCTCTCTCTCTCCCTCTCTCTCCCTCTCTTTCTCTCTTTCTTTATTATTTTCTTTCTTTCTTTGCAGAAATGTTACATATGTAGCTACATAGATAGGATAGGATAGGGTAGGATAGGATGGGATCGATGGCAAAGTGTATGAGTATTCCTGCTATTGCCATTGCTATGGTTCTCCATTAGTTGTTGTATTGACATTAATCTGCTAGATTGCTAGATGTTGACCATGCGAGGAATGATATCATCCCATCCTCACCAATACCTCGTCCATCCTACAAAATGGGACCCATTGTTCACGGTTCACTGTTCACTGTTCTCAAGGGAAGGTGGGAAACGTTTTCCGGGGAGTGTCTGACCACTCGCCACCTGGCAATGCTGTCAAGTGTCAGCAATCACCTGCCAAGTTGGGCTTCGCCGTTGACATGTCCAGTAGATATGGACGTGGGTCAAATCACCCATGCTACACCCATGTCTGAACATCAAGCTATGGTATTTCATGGTGTTTCACAGGTGTTGATCCATATCTACATCCATAATCCATATATCAAATTGTTATTATATATAAATATATGTATATGATGTATATTTATATGCATATATTAAATTGTTTTCTTTTGTAATATCACATATTAATGAAAGCGCCAAGTGATCAAGCAATTTCCCTTGGCCTTGGGGCCACTGGGGCCACTGGGCTGCAGCGGCAGTTGCTCTGTTGCTAGCGCGTTGGATGCTGCTAAAGGCATTGCCAGCTCCTAAGCTTTTGTCCCAAGTCATCAGCTTGGTTTCAAACGGGGGTATGGGTCAATACCTATCAATACCATTTTTAGTGGGGATGAACATCCATAAATCCCAGCTATTTTGATGTTCACCAGGGGTACAGGGTTTTGACCCATCCCCAAATGGTTATCTAAGATGTTTCGGAAAAAACTCGGAAACCATGGGCACCATGGGCACCAGTTATCACCAGTTCAACCGCCATCGGCCTTTAGAACTTCCGATGTACCCTCTGGTAATGTCAAAATAGCTATTGAACATGGCCATAGAAATAGTGGATTTTCCCATAAAAAATGGTGGATCTTTCCATAGCTATGTAACAAATTACCAGAGGGTAATGTTCAGAGTGGTTCCACGCAAACATCAAGGTCACCGGTGGCATATCCCCATGATTCACCGATGCCATTGGCCGTCCTTCAACTGTTGGCAGTTGGGAACTTCCATGGAGCAGCCATGGGCATCCACGAAGACCAAGGTCGCAAAGCCGTGAGCCACATCCACCTTTCTGGGGATGGTGAAAAACAAGGATTCCATAGAATTCCACCCAGCTTATTACAAGTACATGATTACATGATTACATGATAATGAACATTATCAAAAGAAAAAATTGCAAAATCATTGTATAAAATATTATGTATATATATATATCCAAACAATTATATCCAAATAATTGTATCCAAATATATCCAAAATCATGCACATCATAGAAATCTCAAATCAAACATCCACTGGAACTCTGACCGAAAAGAATGAAGAACCAAGCTGCAATGTCGCCGTCCAACTTTTGGGAGATGCTGTGGCCAACCATCACCGAAGAGCTCTCAACCTGTCGGCAATAGCGACATCTGCCCCTGGAGTTGCAGCCCATCCCAAAAGTCCTACGCGCCAATGGGAATCATATGGAATCATCATCCAAAACGGGGTCGTAAAATCATCGAATATGTTTGAAGAACATTGAATTCATATTTGAAACCACCGAACACACAACTGACCCTCTTCCTTCTACTTGACATTAGAGATACAAGTAATTAATGATGATATATGATGACATATGATTTTTTATAGCACAGGCTTGGCAGGCTTGGTGTGGGCAAACTCAAGAATCTCAAATTGGGGATGGTACACCTGGGGTTGGGTTTACCACATGGCTCTCCCTCTCTCTCTCTCTCTGTCTGGGTGCACCTGTTGGAGCCAGGTTCGCAGTTCATACTCCACCTGGGTAAACCATCGGTAGCGCATCTTGCAGGTCAAAAACTGGACCCTCAAAACAACCAAAGTACTACAAAAAACAACCAAAGAACAAGCAAAGAACATGATGATCTAGCTTTAGTTTCTTCATTGAACTTCATGTTTCGCCTGTGGCCAGAAACACCTCTATAATCCTCTATATATATATATACACATGTGTGTGTACTGTATGTGGATACTGTATAGATTATCGCAGGTGTGGAAGTTGCCTCTCCAAGGCGCTAAGGGTTTCAGGTTGCCCTGCAATTGCAGCACCTGTGACCGTAGCAGCACTCGACCACAGGCAGCGGCATCCGCTAGGCATCCATTCCTAAGATTCTGGGTATCCCAACTGGTGCCACGAGTCCCACAGTAATTAAATGCACCGAAATCCGAGGGATGCCCAATTTGAAATAGACACTTATAAGTGAAACCAGGCTTTTGTTGGTGGTGTATTTCGTACTAGAGTCACTAGAGGGAAGGGATTTAGTGGTGTTGGATGACAAATCTTGAAATTTTGTTGAAGATGGTGCGCCAACAAACCGGGACTGGCATAAACAAGAAAGTTTACAACTGTGGATGATCCTGACCACATCACAAACTCTCACATAACAGTCAATGTTTGATGTTCATTCAGAAATCCGGTGATGCGAAACAACTTTCAATTTCAGTATGTGTTTTTTTTTTAATATGATGAAAATGTAGGAAGCTCCATTTCAAATAGAGACGTAACAAACATCCTATTACTATCCATGGTTTGTTTTGTGTCCAATGTTTCTTTCAAAAATGGGTGGGTTGCATTTTTGTTCTAAAAAAAAGTAACATATTTCGCAGCATCTTTTACGAAGGCTTCAACGCTGAGAAGCTGGATGAGCCTGTAGCGCGAATGCTGGAAGAAGCGCGCGGCACCTGGGATCACCGGTGGGATTTCACCGTAAATCGCAACTGGATGTCACTGAACACATTACCCTCTGGTTATTTACCATAGCCATGGAAAATCACCATGTTTCATAGGTAAACCATCTATAAATGGGCCATCTATACCATGGCTATGTTAAATAACCAACATAGCTATTGAACATGGCCATTTATAGTGGATTTTCCCATGAAAAATGGTGATTTTCCATAGTTATGTAAACGTTTACCAGAGGGTAATGAACATGAAGTGGGATCACCCATGGACTTAATTTGTTTTTTATAACCGCAGAATAAATAATATATAATCACTATATAACTAAATAATAAGCAGGATACATAACGTGTCATAAGCCTATTCGTAGGGATGAAACATAATGATCATTTAAGGAAAATCCCACCAGAAAACCTCTGAGATCCTTACTGACCAAAGTTGTAGAGGATGTGCCACACTCAAAAGCCTGGCATGTGCCAAGGCGAAGGAGAAAAGGATAGGTTCCATCCAGGCAGCACTTCCCATATTTTCCCATGAAATTCCATCCTATGCCTGCTTGTCGACATGGCTCTGCCTACTTGCCCCCTCTAGACTTCAAGGATAATTTGATCATTCTTGGATAAATGCTCCGATATTGCCGACTTTTTCCTTCCACTTTCGCAGCGCGGCTGTTTGGCCGCAGCGCGGGCTGGCTTGATCTCAGCTGACCAAGCTCACTCAGACTTGACCTCCTTGTCAACCTCAGGTTATGATCTGGCTGGCTTGAGAATCGTGAGATTGCCAGGTACAAAACAGCCATTTTTTCCGCCAGCAATTTTGGGCATCCATGGCCATCCATCTGGGTAAATTATAATATTTCACTAACCTGAATTAAGGCCATTTGGGGATGATTCCCCTTACTAACCATGATTCCAGTGATCCATAGAACTGACAATAAAAAACCATAAAAAACCACATCAGGGCCATCAGTGGCCTGTGCCATGGTCAAGTTACGTGGGATTATGCCATGGATTCATCTGGGCGAGCCGGTCATCCATCCCATGATGGGAGCCCTGAAAAACTAGGTCCAGTTCTCGGTGTATAAATCAAAAAATAAATAAGCAAATAAATAAATAAATATATATATATATACATAGTATCATATATATATATACATATATTAGTATCACATATATATATATATATTAGTATTATATATATATATATATTAGTATTATATATATATATTAGTATCACATATATATATATATTAGTATTATATATATATTAGTATCACACACACACATATATATATATATTAGTATTATATCTATATCTATATATAATATGATCGTTATAATTCCCTATGCAAATGGATTGCTGACCATCCCCCCAAAAAAACTGGAAAGCTTGGTCCAATGGCTGTGGTCCCACCGGTCCTGCCTTGACATCTGGAGCTTGCGAATAGGCGAAGGCGCCTCCAAAAATCAGAACCTCGGCTGACCATGGTGATCCGATGGCCAGCCATGTGAGATTTGGCATGTTGAAACCGATCCACTTGGGGTGCGGTTGAGGCTATAAAATCTATAAATAAATATAGTAACTGAGAGTAAAACACTGGTTGGAACTGATGAACTGCATCATAAAATGGAGAACACCTCCACAATCCTCCGGCACCAGAAGCCAAGATTCAGTGGCGAAGCTGTGCTGTATGGTCCAGGGATTACTGAATAACATAATTGACACCTCAGTTTCCGGCCAGTTTGCCCTTGCCATCTCAGGCTGGCCCCAAAAGCGTCCAGAAACACTAAAAAGTCTCGGAATATCTGAGATCCGTGTTTTTCGACAGCCAGCATCTTCAAAAACTGCAGAGCATCTCTCTAAACTTGAAAGTGGCTTATTTGTCTTCACGAATTTTCCTTGTTGCATTGCAGGATAAATATAAATATATATATATGTACTTGAGGCCGGGGGTGGATGACGAAAGCTAGCGGGGTAGGAGAAAGAAGGAAGGGAAGAGGTGAGTTGCGGAGGGACTGGCATCATCGTGTCGCGGCATTGTTCGTCCCAACGAGGATGCAACAATGATATATTGATATATGATATATAACAATGATATATATATATATGGGGGAGGGGGCAGGGGGGGGCCCTTTCGCGGGAAAAATCACGTGATGTCCTTGGGGAGCCCTGGAATACGTGCTAAAGCAAGAAGACTCTAGCGAGCTGACGCTAGCTTTCGTGATAATGACAATAATTGCCAATAATGATAAAATGTAATTGAATAACGATGATGATGATGATGATGAATGATGAATGATGAATGATGAATGATGAATGATGAATGATGAATGATGATGATGATGATGATGATGATGATGATGATGACGAGGATGATGATGATGATGATGATGATGGCGATGATGATGACGATGACGATGACGATGACGAGGACGATGACGAGGACGACGATGATGATGATGATGATGACGATGACGAGGACGAGGACGATGGAGAGGACGATGACGATGATGATGACGATGATGATGACGATGATGATGATGATGGTGATGGTGGTGATGGTGGTGATGGTGGTGGTGGTGGTGGTGGGGGGGCCTTTCGCGTGAAAAATCACGTGATGTCCTTGAGCAGCCCCCCCAATACTTGCTTAAGCAAGAAGACTCCAGCTAGCTGACGCTAGCTTTCGTGATATGTCATGCCCGTGCTTTTGCCCATCTTGAAACCTGTGGAAACGATTTGCACTTCAGCCAGGGGGTCTCAATCAGTCATGAAGACAATGAAGACTGTGACTCGAGCCACCTGACGATGCATGGGGACTGTCCTTGTGGAATCCCATGGAATCCCTCACCAGATTTCCACTGGATCTCCAGGTTGGCCTCGCGGCCCTGCATGGAGCTGGTTCAACCACTAGCCTCTGGCTGGTCTCATCTCGTCATCCAAGCATTGTCGAAACATGCATGGAATGAGATGGCATATTCTGGCCGCTTGAAGTTCACGATGGCCCCATGTTATGCCAAGGGCTTTTTTGGGTGTGTGGAATGTAGAGAAGGTCAAAGTGGCCCTGGAACCCGTGGTCAAAGATGGCTCGCGTCAGCATTTCTTGGGTGAAATATTTGCAGTTCCTTCACCATCAGTGTCACCACTTGCTCCTGCATGGGAGTCCTGGGCCGGGTCAGCTTGGACACAAGGCTGAGCCAGTTGGTGAGAGCTTCGGCCTGCAGCTTGGAGACCTCGGACGGCGAGTCATTGGCCGCCCAGGTCGGGCAGCACCACATCGGCATGGACCCCGTTGCTTCCGCCAATGCGGCTATGGAATGAAAAATGGCTGCGATCTGCGGAAGATCAACCTCCACAAACTTCAAAACCTGCTGAAAATCGCAGAGTGGAAACGACAAATCTCGCAAGGATGGAATGGAAGAAGTGCCCATAGAAATGGTCTCTAAAAGCAGCATCTCTCTTGCTTCCCTGCTTTCTGCTTACAAGGGGCCACCACAGACAAGAACTTCCGCACGGAGAGGATGATGGTCAGGGCCAGTGGGGAAACTGTGGCTGATGTTCGGAAGACGCCTTTGAGGCAAATAGTCTGCGAGACGTTGTTGACCAGCCTCAGCCATTGGGGCTTCTTGGGTCAGGGCTGGGAACCCACCATCCACCAAGATGCAACCCATCAGTTCAGCTGAGGAACAGCCACGCCACTCTAGATGGCACGGGTACCAGGGGAAGTGGCTCAGAGAGCCATGCTGATTCCGCAGCCTCAAGAAGCAGCGGCATCATGGGATATGGGACACGCCCATGCCAAAATTCACAAGACAAGTGTCTGCCATGATGTCATCCTTCAGAAAGAACAGGGGCAGCAATGCCTCACAGCGCATTGCCGGCCATGTCAGGCCCTGATTGCGATTGCAGCCCTCTCAGTGTGATTGCAGCTCTGATTGCGGCTCTGCTCTGTCAGCAGCTCCATCTTAAAGTCTTACCAGTCTTACCACCTTCGGCCAAGCTTCTATGACGTGAGAAGTAAAGAGAAACTCATCGCACAGCTCGTTCTTTGGAGCCAAATCCTGGGTGCTCTGCTCAGTGAAACCAGCACCAATCTCAAGTGGCTCCCTTCCATCCCTGGGGTCCTTGTAGATGCGGTAGTATGTCGACTGCACATGGCCCAAAAAGCCTGAACAATGCAAGAAAATACAGCAGCAAGTGCCAGCAAACTTGGGCACATCACTAATTCCAGTACGTATCTGTGTGTATCCATTCATCCTTGCATCTTTATCCACCTAGTAATCATCTATAGTGGGGGCTGGTGAGGTCGTTGACGTTGCGAGCCAGATCTATCACATATATATATATATTTATATTATATAGGATTATCCAAAATAGGATCACCCACCCATTTTTGGATGATTCCCTATTGTGTGTTTATATTTATATGTCAGTTCTATTAAACGGTTGGTTTTATACACTCTGATCGCCCCATGTTAGTTGGACTTCTTTGGTTCTAAGTTCTATCATGGCTTATTCCTCTTTGTTCGAACGAAGCCACCTCATCTTCTTGGCCAGTCATCCCAGCATGTTCATTAATCCATGGTCTAACTTCCATTAATTCCCATTGATGTACCCCCATTACTAACCCTCCGGCAAACATGGCAATGGAAGGTTCTGTTCTTCATTTAGTTCGATGATTTTCCCAGATTTTCCCCTTCAAAGGCTCATTAAGATGGGCATTGGCCAGCCATGTGCCACAGGAAATCCCCATGCCCATGTCTACGTCTCGCCACCACGCCTTGCAACAGCTGTACAAAGGCCAACATCCCGATGCCAATCAGCCAGGTTCCCACGTCCACCGCAGAATCCATTGCTTCCTATGGCAAGCTTCGGTGTGTCAAACACAACCGTGATGGGGATATCATTTTCACATCATAGGATATATATGTATGGATATGTTATTATTATAATCGGATATAATGGGGATACAATGAGGATATATAATATACTGTTGATTATGGCTTTGGAGTGCTTTGGCTAGATATGGAATGTATGTGTATATATATATACAGTACTCACAAAATAGTTCAAAATAGCAATTCTCAATATGGGAAATTGTGATTGACCATCAAATTTGGGGATGCACTCCTACTAGTTTGTCTGAAAAATGGGGAATGAGCACCCCAGTTGAGGGTTTTTTCACAGGAAATATGGCGTCAGTGAATTGGGCTTCAACCGCTTTAACAGATTGATTAAGAAAGTCACGTGGGATCATCATCCCATTTTTGAAGGGATGAACAAATCATACCACCAGCCAGAATGGGTCTGGCCATGTATTATCTGGGTAAATTATAATATTTCACTAACCTGAAATAAGGCCATTTTGGGATGATTCCCCTTACTAACCATGATTCCAGTGAGGTCGTAGTGAGGTCGTTATAATTTACCCAGATGTATAGCGGAGCTGCATTCCCAAGCCATTGCGGCCGAAAGGCACTGGGCTCTGCTTGACATTGTCCGCTACCACAGTCCTTCAGAGTTTTCAACTCCTTGGCTGCATGGGCCATGGCAATCCCCAATGGTGGCCCGCTTTTCTGAAGCAAAACGCCTTCTGCCTCAACTCCGGAGTCACCTTTTTGTAAGGACTTGCATCCGAGTTGCCCCCATCGATGCAAGGAAAATGCCAATGGTGACTGCGCAAACGCAAGCAAGCTGCTCCTGGGTGATTTGGTGATGCTGGCACTAAAAGAAACTTGTATATATATGCCAATGCTGCAATGAATATCCTGCCAAACATTGCCAAACTAATTTCAAGAGACATGTGCTCATTCCCTGTTCACATGAATGAAAGGCACCCGAAAGGCAGTAGAGACCAACAGTGATCGGAGGCAATATTCAGCATGCGTCAGGGGAGAACGAAAGGAGTGAGGTGCTGGATTGGCATTCCTAGCAAACATCCAAAGGAGGAGACAAAATCCACCCCTGAACTTCAACATTCTGAGCCCTCAAAAATAGGTCTGAAGGATTGTCCTCTTGGACTCCAAGCCATTGTTTGGAGTTTTATTTCTTTACAGGTATGGCCAACCACTCGGTGAACTCAGCATTTTCTGCCCCCAAAAAAATCGAAGCTGTGCCGAGTCTCCAATGAAAAGCGCTGGCTGAAGACCAGGAAACCCAGCAAGACAGTGGCAATGATGTTGCAGGAGCGAATCCTTATTGTTTCTTTCGCCCCGTAACTCAAACGCTCCCATTCTATGGATATTCTATGGTCTGTTTCATCCCAACCCATCCGATCAGCTTTCAAGAATTACCACCTCATGGGTATGGGCCGGTATGGGCCCCACTTCATGAAGAGACCCAATGCTCAACCAAAGGGGTTGTGTGGGGGGAACTTCATGTTGGGGGAAGGGATTCAGGCTGATTCAGGTTTCATGACATCTATCTGGATCTATGCAATTTTCCCTACGACCTCAGGAAGAATGTGGAATATGATTAATATGATGTTGAAGTTGTATCGAATAGTGTATTTTATCAAATGTATACTTTTGTTATATGATGTGAATGGAGGCATCTAAGGTCTACTGCCTTCAGATGTCCGTAACATGCCATACCCAGTTTTTGCCAACACATCTTCTCAGAGAGCACCCACTAGAACAACACACGACCAGTTCTTATTGCACGGCCAGTAGCAAGGTAAAAATGGCGACACTGATCTTGTACGCAAAGGCATAATTCGCCAATACTGACATCGACACCTAATGGCACGATGCCAATGGCAATAGCGCAAGCTTATTTTGGCACGCGTTCAGCATGCACGGCGTCAAATAATTCGAACTTGCTCTAAAATCTAGAATAGACAGAAATCAATTGCAACATCATGCAGCGCAGTGGCCCAAAGTATCGCAAATTTTGCATGGCTTAGCAGTGGTGCTGCCAATGGTTTGAGACCACTGCGGGTCAAGCGCCCTGCAAGCCGAGCAAACCCTATTGGACCCCTTCGCTTTTGCGATGCGAAGCATGGTACATGGTACAACCGGATCAGCAACATGTCCCATTCCCGGCCTGGGATGCTCTGGAACAGGACCATGAGAACCTCAGTTGTTCCAACACATGGGATGCTGCGGCTCGTCCCACACCCATTCGGCCAAGACTCTGCTGTTAAGGTCAGCAAGTTCCCAGACCTGGGGCTGCAAACATCTGCAAACTCTAGGATGACGTGTGTTCATGGACCTATTGCAAACTTTGCTTCCACCTGCTTTCACCTTCTTGCACCTTAGCCACTGCATGTCTTAATGGGTACAGTATGTGTACGTATGTGTGCTAGCCGCTTGATCTTCTCCTTTCCGCCCAAGGGAAGTGCCCTCCTCTTAGGTCTGCTGAGCTGCTTTGGATCCCCTTTCAAAACGATCTCCATCGCAACAATGGCGCCCATGCAGCCGCCAAAAACCATGACCACGGGTACCTCGCTGCAGCTGAAGGGCATCCAAACGCCTGGTGCTTATGATGTTTCACATAGTCCCGGCGAGGGCCAAAAATTGAGCCAAGTTGCCAAAACTCCAGAGGTGGGACCCGCCATGAGGGCAACGCAATTGGTATTGATATATATATATATTATATAATATAACTATTGTATTCTAGGCTATTCTGGGCTGCGCGCTTTTGCTGAAACTGTTGTGCTTTATGAGTTACCCCAGCTCCCTGTTGAAGCAGGCGCCTTGCTGCTTGCTTTAGTCAAATGCCATGAACATTTCCATGACGGTGTTGTGCTGCTGCCGTGTCTAGAAGAAAATGTGCCCAAGGCAGAAATGCATAGAAATGCGACAAATGATACAAATGCTAAATCAGGAAGGCAACCAAACATGGGCAAGAATTGAAGTAGCAGAGCTACTAATATTGAGGCTCCATCTTCTGTCTGTGTTGGCATTGCTTGAAACATCTTAGACATCTTAGACACATTGTCTCTACGATTCGCATCGAGCACTTCGAGTTCCTTCCGATTTCGCCTGGTCTCAAGCCACAGCTGCAGCCGCAGATTCCGCTCGTGAAGCATTTCGCAACTTTGGAGATCCACTCTTAGCCACCCAACCCGAAACGAATCATGAATCATGTCCATCATTTCCATCATCTATATTCAATTTTCCCATATTTTCCCATATTTTTTCATATTTTCCAATATTTTCCTGGATGTCTTTCCTATCTTCCCTTCATGAAACGCCTTCCACTGTGCCTTGGCGATAAGCTCAGAGCGGATCACTGAGCCCCAATAGGTGTCGCCTTCCACAGCCTGGACCATTGGCGAGAAAGCGTTGGCCAACCCTCAGAAACCATGGGTTTCGTAGGGTTTTTTTGCACATATTTGAGGACCATTTAATATATATGTATATATACATATATATATATATTTTTGTTTAAAAAAAATCATATAGATTCATATAGGACCACACAATGGGGCTGTTTGAATCTGTTTCATATTAGGGGGATGATTTTGAACATGTGTGTCTCGAAAAGAATACGTCTTGATATTAAATCTGATATATTTTGATCTACACCTAGCCTTGATCTTGAAGTAATTTTCGAAGTTCCAAGTCGCGGTGGACCTGGGCAAATTAACCCAATTCCCCAATCAGGAATAAAAAACTTTGGGGATAATTCCCTGAAGCCATCTGTCATTGGGATGGTTTCACGGAACATGTAGATTTTCTACGTGTTTGCCGTCACTTTTCTGGGGGTTTCCTGGCGCATTTCGCTGATAGCAATCCAACGAAAACCATATAAAAGAACATGTTTGACAGAATGATCCGGCGTGCAATGAACAATCAACTGATAGAACATGGGGATGATGAAGCTTACAATTGAAATTCTAATCAACACATATGTGTCAAGTGGTCACGGATGGTCACGGTTTCGGTTGCTGCACGGGTCCCTCGCACCTTCCGAACTTCATCGAAGACCAACATGGACCGCACATCTGCAGGGAGCGCAGCTGGAGACCCGTCGCCCACGTGAATGGTTCGCACCTGCAAGGGAACATTGATGCGAAAGCATGGGGGTTCTCATGGTTTTCCATCAAGTATAACGGGTCCTCTCAGATTTGCAGTACATTGAAGAAAGTACAAGGAATTATATATTCGGAATTGGGCTCCTGCCAGCCCGATTATTTCTTTTAAATCATATGTATCTGCACATCTCTTGACCGCACGGGTGCAAACTCGCAATCTGAGAGTGACACAACCAAGAAACGCAGAAAGAAAGCACGAGAAAGGCAGAAAGAAAGCATAGCAATGCACAATAGCATACATATAATTACAATTGTAACATATTTATATAACATTATATAACACTATTGTGGCTTGTCTGAACAGGCAGGCCAAAACCCCTACGGTTTATCATCCTTTTCCCAGTAAACTTGCTACACCAATGGTAGACTGCCGACCCGATCTCCACAGAAGTCCAAGATAGCATCGCGCTCCTGGCATGGCACTGCTTTTTGGACACCGATGGTTTCCGCCGAAAAGGGAGCTGTCGTCAAATTGTTCGCCGATTTTATTGGGAAGTTTGGAAGGCATCAACCACATATACTGGTTGGTGGTATACCTACCCCTCTGAAAATATTAGTCAGTTGGGATGATTATTCCTAATATATGGAAAATAAAAGCCATGTTCCAAACCACCAACCAGTATAAAAACATACAAAATCTTGGCCAACTGGTGGCAACTTTTCGGCCAGCCTGGTGGTAGGTCACCAACCTTCGGCGAATCCTCACGGGACAATCCCAACTTTCGAACGAAGATATGGAACATGCCAGAAGAAGATCAAACACATGGGGTTGTGTCAAAATTGGGACGCCCCAAATCCATCCAAATCCATCTAAATCCCATGTTTTCTATTGATTTCTCATGATTTTCCCCGGGTTTCACCGGGAAAAAAAAATGGGGAAGGCCCCAGTCATCGGCGCCAAGCGACGTCTCGGGTGTATCGTCTTCTCGTTGGATGACACGATCCTGGATGTCAGGTGGTGGTGGACTGTCCTGACAGATGGATCTGAAGGCTGTGATTGTAACTTGATATAGAAATACCATATGGTAAAGTATAACTATATACCATATATATATACTAGTATAGTAAAGTATTACCATTTGGTATATAGTAACTGGATATATATATATATAGTATATACTTTATACATACCATATGGTAATATATATAGTATATGGCGTATATAGTATATGGATGTATATGGTAATACCATATTTCTGAAGGCTATGATTAACCATATGTGATTGAGTTTTGCTAATACCATCTGGTAGTTTGACAATAGAAATCGTATAGGACCATATGGGACAATCATCTATGCAAATTGATGTTTTTTATTGCCATGGCTAAATTGCGGGAGGGCTAAAGCTTCACAACACTACCTGCCAAGGATATTGAGAATAATCTCATCCGGGTTTTTTCGGAGGACTTCCCAGTTCCATATCCAAACATTGCAGCAACAAGTCCTTGACATGGTAAATCTTGCCACTCAAAGGATCAATTCGTCGACCAGAAATACGATCAACCACCACCTCATCAGCAACCTGCACTGTTGCAAACAGCAGGTTGCACTGAAGCCCTGTGGGCTGGAACGCTGATGGAATGACACCAAGCGCAAGGAAACACAGAGTATTAAAACTTGAGAGGGGGAACACGAAAGGTAGGTAAGCAAGAAAGGAACCGAAGAAAAAATGAAGGGGAGAGAGGAGGGAAAAATACATAAAGTGGAGTCTGGTAAAAGCGACGCGGCCATTTTCTTTCCAAAAATATGAAGGGGAGTCTGGTAAAAGCGACTGAAAGGCTTCGGCGATGTGGTTGGGGTTGGTGGTGGTTGTGGTGTTGGTGGTGTTGGTGGTGCTGGTGGTGTTGGTGTTGTTGGTGTTGTTGGTATTGGTGTTGTTGGTGTTGTTGGTGGTGGTAGTGTTTCTGGTGTTGTTAGTGTTGTTAGTGTTGTTGGTGTGGTTGGGTTTGTTGGTGGTGTTGGTGTTGTTGGTCGTGTTGTTGGTGTTGGTATTGTTCGTGTTCGTGTTCGTGTTGTTGTTGTTGTTGATGTTGTTGTTGTTATTGTTGTTGTGTGTTGTTGTGTGTTGTTGTGTGTTGTTGTGTGTTGTTGTGTGTTGTTGTGTGTTGTTGTGTGTTGTTGTGTGTTGTTGTGTGTTGTTGTGTGTTGTTGTGTGTTGTTGTGTGTTGTTGTGTGTTGTTGTGTGCTGTTGTGTGTTGTTGTGTGTTGTTGTGTGTTGTTGTGTGTTGTTGTGTGTTGTTGTGTGTTGTGGTGTGTTGTGGTGTGTTGTGGTGTGTTGTTGTGTTGTTGTGTGTTGTTGTGTGTTGTTGTGTGTGTTGTGGTGTGTTGTTGTGTTGTTTGTGTGTTGTTGTGTGTGTTGTTGTGTGTTGTTGTGTTGTTGTGTGTTGTTGTTGCGTTGTTGTGTTGTTGTGTGTTGCGTGTGTTGTTGTGTGTTGTCGTGTGTTGTGGTGTGTTGTTGTGTGTTGTTGTGTGTGTGTGTGTTGTTGTGTGTGGTTGTGTGTGTTGTTGTGCATTGTTGTGTGTTGTTGTGTGTTGTTGTGTGTGTTGTGTGTGTTTCGTGTGTGTTGTTGTGTGTGTGTGTGTTGTGTGTGTTGTGTGTGTGTGTGTGTGTTGTGTGTGTGTTGTGTGTTGTGTTGTGTGTGTGTTTGTGTGTGTGTGGTGTGTTGTGTGTGTGGTGTGTGAGTTGTGCGTTGTGCGTTGTGCGTTGTGCGTTGTGCTTTGTGCTTTGTGTGTGCGTTGTGCGTTGTGCGTTGTGCGTTGTGTTGGTGTTGGTGTTGTTGGTGTTGTTGTTGTTGTTGTCGTCGTTGTTGTTGTTGTTGCTGTTGCTGTTGGTGTTGTTGGTGTTGGTGTTGGTGTTACCCCTGCAGCGTTTTTGCTCGGTTCCGTAGTGGCCGAAAATCGTCAAATCGGTGGTGTTTTCGCGTGTTTTTGCAACTCTCGGAGCAAAAAACACCGCAAATACCGATGTTTTTGGCGGGTCGGAAGCCCAAAACCACGGTATTTACGATGTTTTTTGCCTCTGGTAGTAAAAAGCACGGTATTTACAGTGTTTTTTGGCCAGCACCTAGCAAAAACACTGGTATTTACGGAGGTTTCACCATGTAGCAAAATGTGGTTTCTTGATCCGAAAAGAACAAAAATACTGTAAATTACAATGTTTTGAGTCTGCTCTTAGGGTGCGTGGGAGGTGTGGAGGGGGGGTGTGAGGTAGCTATCCCTCTATTAGGGGAGCCCTGGATTATGTACAAACACCTGAGTCAAGCGTGATCTTTTCTACGCAAGATTCTGCTAGTCTTGAGCCATGCGGAGTGCGCATGAAAGATATGAATTAGGTGTACATGTCAACATGCATGAAAGCATTGTGTAGACACGTAAAACAAAATAAATCACAAACAGACACAAATTTTCTTCGTGTCGGAACATGCAAGTCTGTTTCACAGGTAGCGCTCAGCCTGTGATCTGCTGTGAGACGGTCCGAAGACAAAAACAAAACTGTACAGAAGCTACTCTCCGCTGTTGGAAAGCGGTATTTTCTATTGGACGAAAGCGACCGCAAATGCGGAACATTGCAATTTTTTTGGGGCTACAAGCCCATAGTGAAATAGTAACCGTAAAAACTCAATTCGTTCCTCCTTCTTAGCTCACCGGTCTGATGAAAGAAAATGGACTGATCCGGTGTCTGCGGGATCATGTCAAGCCACGATCCGTCATATTTCTGGACCCAACGCTGTCTAGGTATCTGGTACCCTGGGACGTATTCTACTTGAGTGGTGTTGGGATTTACTCTGTAGTGCGACGGCTGATCATAGCTGTAATCGTAATTACGAGATACGGAAGAGCTGGAAGCTGTTCCTTGGTTAAGCCATTGTGTACCCGATATTCGGGATGGAGGCGCCGGAGGTTCAGGTACGTTGATCGGCCTTTTTCTGGTCGTTTGCCTCTGCTCAGTCTGCTGAGATCTCTCTCTTCACGGCGGTGGAGTCTTCGGCGGTCCCGGTGGATCAGGAGGCGTTCTTGGCTGCTGTGCACCTAGTGTTCGTCCGGGAGCCGGAACTGGAGGAGCCTTTACAGGCGGCCTAGCACTAGAGGAAGATCCTGATGACGTCGGAGCTGGTGATTCTTTCAAGGATCTCGGTGCAGCTTTATATTTCACAGGTTCAACTGGTCTGGCCTTTGCTGCTGGACCTCGCACAGGTGCCGGAGGCGGTGCTGGTGTTTCAGCTCTGGGTCGATATGTTCTGGTCCTGCTGATCGATCGACTTCGAGTGCGTCCAACATTTCTGTGAGAGTCAGTCCGCAGCGGCGGAACACTATCTCTCCTCTCTTCTCGTTTTTCGAGATATCCTTGAGTTCGCTGCATCCATTTTTCACGTCTTTTATCTTCAGATTCCTTGGATCGGATGCGCATATTTTTCAATGCCTTCAACTGGGCGTAAGCAAGGAGAGGTGAGTGCCATGCACAGTCCTTTTCTGCCAGACCAAGGTCGTATGCCATCAAATGTTTTAGCTGTTCAACATCGTTCAGCATAACTTCGTCGGAGAAGGCAGATCCTGCAAACCCATCGGCAGAGGCTGATTCTTCTTTTGCACGTGCTTCCGTGACAGCGATCTGCTTACCGTAACAAAGAGAAATTAAAAGCATTGAATCACAATCAGAATCATCTCCACGCATACTGCGGATGTAATTGGCTGCAGTGGTCGATGAAACTACGTTATACGTAATACGGTTTATCGGGCTGCGGTGAAGATTAATCTGCTGAAGGAAACGCTCCAAAATGTCAATTAAAATACATGTCCGGTAGTCGGAGTGATCGTCTGCCTTAAAGCTTCGCTGTGCGAAAAGATTCCCGTCACCGGACAAAAAGTCGCACTGATGTTCGATACAGCTTGCGACAAATTGGAGCCATTTCTGGCACGTTTCTTTATAGGCATTACTCCATGCGTATGAGGAGATATGAAAAACCGCAATGCGGCATTCAGCTAACATGAGACGTCGGACGTCATGAGTGTCGGCTCCAAGATTCACTTCACAAGCTTCCACGCCGGAGACGGCAAGGTCGTCATCTCCGTCGATCTCACAGATCGAGTGATCAAGAAAATCGAGTGAGGATGCAAGTGGGCGATCGTGCTGGTACACCGTAGATTCGGCATTTTTCTCGATGTCCGGTTTCGGAACACGAGCGCCAGTGGAAGGATCAACAAATTCTCCTGACGTGTTCATGCCATGGCAAACACGAAAAATAGCACCATGCAAAATCCAAAAGGGTGCATCTTTGGTAGAGGTTTCAATTTGGTGATGACACAAAAGTTCAATAAAGGAGCCGGTATCATGTGAGCCACGGATAAAAATTGCAACGGACTGTGACTGGATGTGCGGATGCACTACCATTCCAATCATACCGTACTCATCGGCTAGTTCTCGATGGACGGCAATGCCACCGTACTCATCGGACGCCTCGCACAGGCACACAATATGGGCCGCATTACGGAACACTAAATGTGGCAATGCACGGTGGTTGATATCAGTTCGTACCCATTTTGGAAATTTGGCACAACCTCCGATAAACGGAAGACGGTTGATGTGACCAAGATTCAAAGTCAAAATACCAAGCTGATACGTGTCCTTCTGAAACTCATGGATGTTCTCCTTAGTGCGCTTGGTAACACCAAGGATTGCTCTTTTACCAAGAAGGCACGATCTGAAGAGTTCCAATAAACGGAGAATCTCTTCTGACTTAAGGTCACCGCCATCAGGGTACTTGAAGAAAGCCTCAGGTCGCCAGATCGGAAGGGGCGTCTGGTCCTGGGCATCAACAAAGTGCTCCTGGAGAGTCGGAATTCGACATCCAAATGGCATTTCATAAATGTATTCGGTATAATCAAAATCTTCAATTCCATGACGAGCAAAAGATTGAAGGTAAGTGTTTCCAATTGAGCGGCCCTCACGCAGATGCGTGATCAGTTCCGAGAATTTGTCTTGGCGATTTTGAGCATGCTCTCGACGTGTTGCGCCGAAATACGACGACTCAGCCAGTACGGCATCAACCAGTTCTTCGATGTCGAAAGGTGAGTTGGATGAGCCGATGCTGTCTGGAATAAAGTCGGAGGACAACTCTGAGGAAAAATTAACAATATTATGTTTGCAAGACAAGCCGCAGGTGCGGCATTCCAAGCAGTAGGCAAAGCCACAAGGGTGGCACCAGAACATTGCCTCTGAACATCCACATTCTTCAAAATTCTTACAGCATTGAGGACCCGCAGGGCGAGGAAACCATTGAATTTCTTCCGTGTCCTTTTTAAACTTAGTGAAAAACTTTTGGGCGGCGTCCGCATCGCGGAACAAATCCTTTGCCTGAGCGTTCATTTCACGGCGTCTTCTGGTCTTGACAACCTGTCGGCGGCCGCCCCAGGGAGATGCTGCTTGAAGATCAACTTCAGCGTCAGGATCAACTTGGCCGGATGCTGGATCGGAGCTAGCCGCAGCGGCGGCATCCTTCGGTTTCCTTGGCATAGGCTTGGCCT